AATCGAGAAGCTGAAGGTATCCATTTTGCGATGGAATTCTTGCATGCAAACACAAAGTCTTTGCTTGATTCTCAGCTGGGTGATGGTCATTACATCTCCGCGAAAGACAAACATGTTATTGTCATCGGTGGCGGAGATACCGGCAATGATTGCATCGGCACGTCCCTTCGACATGGAGCCAAGTCAATTACCAATTTTGAGCTCTTGCCTCAACCTCCTCCGGAACGCGCTCGCGACAACCCGTGGCCCCAGTGGCCGCGAATCTACCGCGTGGACTACGGTCACACAGAAGTCAAGCAACACTACGGACAAGATCCTCGTGAATACTGTGTGATGACGAAGGATTTCGTGGTCGAGGACGGACGTGTCGTGGGCATCAATACGACTCGTGTAGACTGGACAAAGACCGCCACTGGTGGCTGGGACATGAAACCCAGGGAGGGAAGTGAGCAGTACTTCCCAGCGGATCTCGTGCTTCTTTCTATGGGTTTCCTTGGCCCTGACGACCGTCTCTTTGAAAGCCAAGTGGAGCTTGATCCGCGCAAGAACATCAAGACACCAAAGAACATGTACAACACCAACCTTCCGGGTGTGTTTGCTGCCGGTGACTGCCGACGTGGCCAATCTCTCATTGTGTGGGGTATCAACGAAGGCCGTCAATGTGCTCGACAGGTCGACAGCTTCCTCATGGGCACCGGATCCATCCTCCCCGTTACAGGTGGAATCATCCAACGAGCTGCGCATGACGCTGTCCCCACCCCTGAAGAGTCCAAGGCTCATAAGCATGGCGATATGGCGCATGCTGCCGAAAATTTCAAGCGTGGTCCCGAAATAAAAGTCGCTGCATGATTTCTCTAACGGTCGAATCGATGTTAGTGATTGTTTATCAAAGCAGGATGCAGCAGTGAGCATCTAAAATGACATGGGATGGCTTTCTCTATTGTCTTTCACGATTTGGCATGGTAAGCGCAATCGGCCAGTATGCGAGATACCCTGATTGAGCGCTTTTCAGATCATGAGATGCGAGATGAAATGACCAATGGAATCTGCAATGGGTCATGCCTTTTGGTTATTACGACCTCTGATGAGTGATTTTGATGCTCCCAGGGTGCAGATATGTATCAGTCGTGCTCGAGCCGTTTTGGGTGTTTTGGGGGAAACGTGTTTTGGAACAAATGGAGAGGTCGAGTGTGATGCACCTTGGAAGATATCAGAAAGAAAAGAGGTGCTGCAGACTGCCAATGGGAATGTATCAATACCAAAGGCCTGTAGATAGCAAAAAAAAATATATATTTGAAAACCCATCCTTTTGTGAATCATATTTCTGACACATTGACCGCGAGAGAGAGAGAGAGAGAGAGAGAGAGAAATATTACAATATGGTCTCTCATGGTCGAATTAGCATGACCTAAACAGTCGGGGTTGCACTAGGGATGTTAAAATGACATTTGCCATGCATGATTGGCCGTAGTCGAGTTATAGTATTGTAAGCTTATATCGGCGCCTGTCCTAGATTCTTCGTCCTCATCGTGTTAAAAACACACCTTAATTGACCAAATCTCTTTATTCCACGTCGTGAGTTGTGAGGAATGTGTTTAGTTTACAGCATTAAAGGAATTGATTCTTCGTTCGCCTACATAGGAGTCTGCAGCCAGGCCACCGGCCATCAATTATACACGTATGGTCTGGAAAACAAGAGGCTGAGTCGCGACGCGTTTTGATTTACACAGCAACAAACACATTTCACGTCACAACACACAAAGGTCGAGACGAGAGTCGTGGCGGAGGGAGCCATCAAGTTGAAAGAGCGCCTGTATTATTTGAAAGGCCGATGTGGAACAACCCAGTCGACAACTTTACAACCACTTCGGTCGCCAAAACCCTGAATTCGACTTGACACAATAATTTCATCACAGTCCAGCACAATCAATATTGATCAAAATGTTCTTTACATCCTCACTCCCCCTACTTCCCCCTCCGCCGGCATCTCTTCTTCCGCCCCTCACTACTACATTCTCGGGATCCGAGACATCGACTACATCTCATCAACACCAACATCCTCACCAACATCCAGCGTCATCCCGCCGCCCCAAATCCCACCATGCAAACATCAACAACCGGAACAACACACTTGTCGCGCTATCTTCTGATGAACGTGCTATCTCCCAACGGAAAATGGCCATCGCGATGTACGGTTATAGCTGGCTCAAGCCGGCTGGATGTGCCAAGACGATGCTCGGGAGGCGGGAGGAAGAGGTTGAAAGGGAGGAAGTGGAAAGGCAATTGAGAGAGGTAGAACTCCAAGAGCGGCAAGCTCAGGAAACGGAGGAGCAGGAAAGACTGGCCAGGCTGAACGAGGCGGGAGAGGGTGAAGTGGATGAAGGGGAGAGGGATTTAGACGAAGATATCCCCGACGCTGATGAGGTGGACTTGGATGGAGAGGAAGATGAAGAAAGTGAGGAGGATGTTGACCATGGAATTGATGAAGGCGAAGATGACGAGGCTTTACAAGTCGATCTTGATGATGAGATTCCCGATGCGGATGACCAGGACGACGACGACGACGACGACGACGATGATGAACCCATGTCGCCTGATCCTGTTGGGGCGGACGGAAACTGGGTCTACGACACCCGTCGAGAGCCGGACACTGACGACGAAGAACAGTTACCCCATCCACCTGCAACCGGTCGCCATCCTCCTAGCCGTCTTGCGATTGGAAGGGACGGTATGCTTGCAACGGTCGCTGGTGTGCGTCTCCCACTTCCAGGAAGTGATTATGGCTACGATGAGCGAGATGCTGAGGACTTGGCGGACTCTATGCTTGTTCAGGACGAGGTATTCGATGACCACGCTATTGAAAGTAGCAACGCCGCCATCGCCGAGCATGATCTGGATGAAGATGTTCCTGACGCAGAAGACGACCAAATGTGGGAACATACCGACACAGAACTCGAGGAGAGTGAGATGGACATCTCCGTTCTTCCTGGTCAAAGTGCAGGCCCTGGTACCACTGCAATGGCCCAAAGTCAGAATCTACGCCCGCCTCCCAGTTCTGACCGCATCTCGATGCCGCGCAGCTCTGGCCCATGGATCACAGGACCTTCCCCTTCGCCCCAGACACATGGACAGATAATCACTCGGCGTGGAGTGCATGCCAGGCCCACTCCCGATGCTGCCATACGCGCCGCCAGGATTGTATCTGGGAACCGTCAGCGCCATTACCATCATGGACTCCCGAATACGCGGCATCAACTCAACCACACACCAGCGATGCTGGATAGTCCGCTTGACGTTGATGAGGAAGAAGTCGACACCGACTTGGAACTGGATACACCTGATCCGTTTGCCGCCCCCAGAAATTTGAGGGGAGGGGCTGCTGGCCGAACGACGGGACAAGAGATGACACCCGGCGACGGCGCTGCCCGACCGGAGACAGATGATAACAACAATCGAAGCCCAAGTCGCGCCGCCGCGGCACGTAATTGGCTTGACGGCGCAGCAGCAGCAGTTGTTGGTGGGAGCGGAAGTGCCAGGAGAACATTATTTCAGCGTGCGACGAGGAGAAGAAATAACATCGACACTGGCACGACGGCAGCTGCTCCTGGCACCGCGCAGGCTCTCCCCGGCGGTACCTCAAGTGGCGGGCTGTTCACCCCATCTCCCCATGCTCAAGTCGCCGGCTCTGGACGAGCGCAGGACCGCCCAGGGGGAGCAGCACTGGATTGGGACACGCCTGTGAATGCGAACTCAAGCGCGAGCGGGGGTGAAGGATTGTCAGGTCAAGGACAAGACCAGCGAGGAAGGGGAAGACGCACTGGACGGTTTCTGGGGTCACGGAGACGGGCAGAATAAATCCCCAAGAGGGGCTGTCCTGGCATGGCGTCTTGTTGTTCAAGAGTACGATGAGTCAAATATGGCCTACGTGTCAGGATATTGATTTGTCTGTCCTTCTCGCGAGTGGCTCTCTGGTCCCAGCACTGTCTGTGGTTTACAGGCCTGAAGAAGAGCTTGTCGAAAGGAAAGAAGACCCTATCCGCTTCTATCTCCATCTCCATCTCCGCCAACGGGTACCTTTGAGGACAGACAGATAGATGCCCTCCAAGCTTCTCACTCTGCCCAATTCAATTCGTATTAAAATACATTAATTACAGAATTACAGAGTCACAGCAACTTATTGGGCGATTGCCGAACCACAAAGCACTTTGCAGAACGCGAAAGCACTTGGCTCGCTCTCCGAGCAATATCATATCACATCACATCACGAGCAGGAGCACGAACACGTCGAGGATTCATCCATCCATCCTTTCAATCTCGTTCAAAAGGTCCAAGAAAAGATTCATATTCACACACACTCCTTTTTCATCTCTTGTGGTGCCTACCCCTGCCTGCCGTTGTTGGCCCTGCTGCGCTGAGTGGAATCCCTTGTGTTTACAAAAAAAATCAATCAATAGACAATTCATTTGCTCCATCCAGGAAAACGCCTTGCTCGCTCTGGGACACTTGGTCATGCAATGAAACCGAAACCAGTTTTGGTACCCTTTTGGGGGGAAGGGATGGAAGGACGACGTTTTCGGACGAGAGTGAGAAAATGTGAGGGGTGTGTTATGTGCTGCTTTGAGGTTCAGAGAGGCTGTGGGCTGTGTGGGGATGGCAGCCACAGAAGTCGACTCTGGTTGAAGGTGGTGCGGATTTGAGATATTGAATGAGAGGGGGAGTGAGAGGGAGCCAGGTGGTGTTGTTCTCGAAAGGACTCGTGTCGGATGGTGCCTCGTAGCTGTATTGTCGTCCATGGTATGATTTTGGGCGGTCTCAAGCATCTTCTTGTTCGAGGTGAATCAGCGCTGCTGCAGAAGCCTTTCCAACGACTCGCTCGCCTAGGTCCAGATCCAGTCCAATCAAGGTACTTCTGTACATGTCTCAACACAACATGCACCCTCGCTTGATTGCAAGGTCTTCTTTTGTCTTCTCCCCCATGTCCTCAATCGTAGGCCTCCTACTCAGAATAGCCACACGTAGGCAAACAGAGCCCACACGGCGATGAAAAACAACACCCACACTCTCCACCCCACCCCAGTCCGCTCTGCCATGCGCAGCATCCTCCTCATCGTGCCCCGTAACCTGACGCCCGTATTCTCAAAGGTATCGTTAATCGACTGCGCAAGTTGGGACGAGTCGCGGATTTCATCGCCGATGGCGACAGTGAGGGACTTCAACTGCGACACCTTTTGGCTCAGGAGTGTGGTCTGGGTGATTTCATTCTGAGACTCGAGTTCTTCCAGAACCGAGGCGGAATATTGACCCTTGGAGTTGGGCGTCGCGGGACGAAACCCCGAAGACGGCCTCTGCGGCGTGCTGTGGCCGTTTGTGGACGAGTACGGTGTCAGGTACGGTGAAGAGGAATTCGCTGGTTGTGAGGTCGGATAGGCATAGCTGCTGGGCCTCTGCCCGGAGGATGAGGAGGATGGGCGCGAGCCGGGGTAGTCTTGAAAGAGGGCCGACGAGGCTGGGGCGGCGCGCCGATTTAAGGACGAGTAGCGGTTCCTGTGCCCGTAATATGTTAGTTCTTTTGGTTTGCCTTCACTTCAAATCATCTTGTGACAAATCTGGGAACGGGGCGAAAAACGTACGTTGACATGCTGGACGGGTTTTGTCGCAGGGAAATGTTCGTAAAAGGACAAGGCGGATCGGCAGTAGGGCACTGTACTCTTTGTTTTTCAGGCCATCTTTTTGTTCAGTATCCGGAGATCGTGCCACAGGTAGGAATTGACACCGCTCTGTCTACAATCTTTGACAGAAGTGTCCAGTTTGCCTAGGACATTAAAGTGATCTTGTGTCTGGTGCTGGTGAAAGAACAAATGTTCTGGGCTTGAGCATGACGCGGGTGGCGGAAACACCCGGCCGGACTCATTGCACGAGTTGATCAAAAAATCTACCGTACAGTACATATATGCTCGGCCTTGTCGACTTTTGCCCATGCCATTCACCTTGCTCATGGAACACTCAGATTCCTGAAAGCGAATCCACTGTCTCCCAGTGGGTCATCCTTTTCCACGGAGAAGGTGCTGAATCCAGTGTAGTAAGCTTGGCCCTCGACCTTGACCCTCACTTCCATGTCTTCCGAAGTTGCCGATGGTTCGTCGGGTTGACCGACCATATTTCGCTCCAAAACCGTCCCGATAAACGGCGGACCGATCCCGAGCTTGGAAACCAAAGAATGATATGCCCACGACTCGTTTGCTTTGCGAGTCCCGTCATGATACGCCAGTGCACCACGAGCGGCCACTCCACTTCCAGTTGGGGAGCGATCGATTTCTTCGGCAGCAAAATAGCATACCCCCAGTTCAGATCCGGACACGGATTCGTTCTGTGCCTCCATGTGGTCAGTGACAATCACTCCATACAGAAAGGACATCTCCGGCTCAGCTCTATGCTCATAGTAGCGTGAGAGAGATGCGTTGTCCAGTATTGCTGATTTAAGACCCCGCGAAGCACGATTCAGTGCTTCAAGGTCGACTGCTCTAAGGCCATTAGCAAATCCTAGCTCCACGGCCGTAACAATGCAATAAAACGCTCCACCGTACGCAAAGCTCGCGCGTACTTCGGTCCTGTCTTCTTGCAGCTCGGACCACCGTAGATGGGCAGGTATAGGAATTGTGATATTGATACCCTTTGCAAAGGAAGGGACAGAAACGAAGGAGACAGGGCGTTGAGGGTCAGATGCCGACCCATCTTCATTGGTCGGCACAGTCACCTCAACGAGCCCACATGGGGCATGGAGGTTTATGACTGCATGACGGGTGTGATGATCGTACTTTATCTCATTTCTCCTCGGGAATACATGGAGGTCGTGGGTATCGACGAGGAACCGTCCCAGCGCAATGGTCGCGTGACCACACATTGTAGAGTAGCCGTCGTTAGTCATGAAGAGAACACCCATGTCGGCCTTGCTGCTCGTGGTAAGCTCCGTTTGTGGGCGAAGTATTGCACCGTACATGTCATAGTGTCCGCGAGGCTCCAGCAAAACTCGTTGTCGGAGGGAGTCATATTTGGTCTTTGCTTCCGCACGCTGTTCCAGCAGCGTTCCATGGAGATCAGGGTATCCGTCAATAACGATTCGTGTAGGTTCGCCACAAGTATGCATCTCAATACAAGAGATTGGTCTGTTTACTGGCTGCAAGAGTAGTTGCTTGATGTCCATGATCAATGGTGAACCGGGGTTCGAATTTGAGTGACGGAGCTGAGTGGCTTGCTAGACAATCAAAGTAGTTCAACGACGACAAGTGTACGAAATCGTCCCAGGAGGAAGGATAAGTACCTGGTTGCTCTACGTGGAATTGTGTAGGAGTCACATTGGGGAAATGACGCGCCTTGAGACATGTCAGAACGGGGTAAGGCTGAGATACAGCCTTGCGCGAAGGGGCTACGGTGGACCATACATCGAGTCGCGCGTCTGCGCCTTCCACAACGCGTTGAACAACTAAACGGTGGTTGATCTTTGGACGCTGCAAACTTGACTCTACGCTATATTGTTGCATACACCGAAGTTCGCTGGTTATCTCATTGCCTTGCTTGAGTGCCTCGAGCACGTATAACAACCTTATGCTCCAGATGTATCCCAGCACAGCATGGTTGCACCACGACAAAACGAAAGTTTCGGCTTGGTGGGCGAACTCGATGCTGAAGTAGTATCGGAGTTGAGGGACCGGTTGACAGAAGTCACTATAAAATGCTCGGAGCGATGCTTGTATCAATCGGCAAAATGGTGAGCAAGAAGAAGAAGAACCTGGAGACCCAGTCACTGACCGCTGTATTAGGGCAGCGGAGCTTCTCGATTCTCTTCCCGAAGACGACGATACGTTTGATGACTCTCCGATGCAAGACGCGAATAATGTCCAGTCATCGTATCGACTGTTCTCGACCACTTACGATGACCCTGAAGAGGCGGCATTAGAGGCCAAGGAGGCACCGAAATACCTGTTAGCGAAAGCATTCTTCGACACCAAAGAGTTTGATAGATGCGCGGCGGTCTTTCTACCGCCAGCAATCCCAGCCGGAGGTCTAGCGATCTTCGATAAGCCCAGAAAGCGGACACCTACATCCACTCCGTCTCGAACGAAAGGGAAATCAAAAGAGAGTGGTACGACAGCCACTACCAGCCCGTTCCCCCGGCTCAGTCAACGGTCTCTGTTTCTGGCCCTCTATGCACGGTATCTTGCTGGAGAGAAGCGCAAAGACGAAGAAAGCGAGATGGTTCTCGGTCCAGCCGATGGTGGACAAACGATCAATCGGGAGCTTCCCGCATTGGCAAGAGGACTAGAAGCGTACTTCAAAGTCCGAGATGCTGCAGATCCACAACTCAAGCGGTCTCAAGGATGGCTCGAATACCTGTACGGTACCGTCCTGGCCAAGTCGAGACAAGAACAACTCGCACAGCAATGGCTCCTCCGTTCTGTACGACTCAATCCCTATCACTGGGGTGCATGGGAGGAGTTGGCCACGCTTCTCTCGTCGATTGACGACCTCAATTCTCAACTCTCCCCTTCCGTCCTCCCTCAGAACCTGATGAGCATCATGTACCAAGCATACGCCTCTGTTGACCTGTTCTCGACCAGCGACCAATCCACGACCTTGAACTACCTTCGGATTCTCCTGAACTACTTTCCGACCTCCACATTCTTACTCACGCAACTTGCTCTCAGCCATTATCACGCCAAAGAATACGAATCCTCTGCATCCATATTTCAAGATTTACTAGTGGCCCACCCTCATCGTCTTGATGGGCTCGACCACTACTCCAATATCCTGTATGTGATGGCGGATCGACCTAAACTCGCGTTTCTTGCTCATCTTGCTACCTCTGTCGACAAATTCCGCCCAGAAACCTGTTGCGTGGTGGGTAATTATTACTCTCTTTGCTCACAGCACGAGAAAGCAGTCATGTACTTCCGACGCGCCCTCACATTGGACAGAAATTTTCTGTCGGCGTGGACTTTAATGGGCCATGAGTACATCGAGCTGAAAAACACACATGCGGCCATCGAAAGCTATCGACGTGCTGTAGACGTCAATCGCAAGGATTACCGTGCTTGGTATGGTCTGGGTCAAGCATACGAGGTCCTCGATATGGGCTTTTATGCTTTGTTTTACTACCAGCGGGCTGCTGGATTGAGGCCGTATGACCCCAAGATGTGGCAAGCAGTCGGGTCCTGCTATGCGAAAATGGACCGTCTCGATCAAGCAATCAAGGCCCTCAAGCGCGCCCTGGTTGCAGGGACGTATTTTGAAGAACCAACTTCCGCTCAGTCAAGTTTCAACCCAAGCAGCAGTGTTTCCAGCAACTTGACTTCTAGCACAAAACGTGGCAAATCCACCTCCCAGACAAAATCAAACCAGCAGAAAAGTATTCGCAAACTTCTTGATCCGGAAACACTGTATCAAATCGCTCTTTTGTACGAACGCGTTGGCGGCGATGAGGGCGAGAAAGAGGCGGTCCAGTACATGGAACTTTGTGTCGCGCAAGAGACTGGTGGCAGCCACATGAGTGTTGTAAAGGCAGAGAAGGCACTTCGCAAACGTCAGCAAAAGGAAGACAGAAAAGCTGCAGTTGCGGAGGAACGCCGAACCCGAGTAGCCGAGATGCGTGCGGACGATGCAGGCGATATGGACATGGACGCTGGGCAAGGGGCAGTCGGCGCTGACGATGATACAGAAATCATGTCCCCATACTCTGCTTCTCCTGCTTCTCCAGGGTCATCACCATCACCCTCTGACGGTGAAAACATGGGCGAAATGACGGATGGCGGAGGCGATGGCTTCGGCACCGGTACCACCGCTACAACCTCCAAAGCTCGCCTATGGCTTGCCCGTTGGTGTGTGAAAACAGGCGATCTCGACCGCGCAGAGAGACTGGCGGAGGAGTTATGTATGGATGGGTACGAGGTTGAAGAAGCAAAGGGCCTGGTTCGTGAGGTCAGAGGGAGAAGAGAAGTGGATGTGAGCGGAGGCGGCGTGGGTTTGGACCTGTTGCAACCGCCAATGACCTGACTTGACGTGTGAGTTTGGGGTTGGTTCGGCGTGGAAGAGAAAAATGATTCAAAGGGAAAATTCCCAGGGTTGAATGAATTATGAGTCTACGAGTGACTATGATACGACAGGCAGTCATTCTGACAGTTTGTCTCGAATCGCCACGTGCGAGTGCGAGGCTGTCGTCGCCGAGGCAAAGTGACAGAATAACGATATTTGCATCGATGCTTTGTAACAACAAACATGGCTTATCCACATCCTTATTGATCATGACACTCTGGACTTGCTGCCCGTTTTTTCTCCTCGAAGTCAGGCATACCTTGTTGCTCACTGCGAGTTCTGATGGTTTCTGTGAGTGAGTGGGTGAGCCAGCGTACGCAGCAGTCTTGCACCCGAAGCCTCTTGAGGTTGAGCCAGAAAGTCCAAGACGAGCAAACACACCAGTCCCCAAACCGCCCCCTCTTACTTGACCGATCGTCCACCTGGATCCATCCATACGTACCTACCTAACTTGCGAGCACTTCGTACGACGCTGTCGCCGCTATACTCACCATCGTCGCGCTCGCCCTCGCTTTTCCACGTTGACCTTACCGGTCCGATCGCGATTTATTCCAGATCTCGAGAGCGAGAGAAAATACAAGAACCGAGACACAGCCAGCCCAGCCCAGCCATGCCCAGCAAAGGGGAAAAAAAAGATACAAAGAATAGGCCTGTGGGGGGATATGGGACCAGAAAGGAAGGGAAAAAAAAAAAAAAAAAAAAAAAAAACCAATGAAAAGGAGACTGGAATGCGTAACCATAACGAGGGAGGGAACAACCACCACTGCCACTGTGAAATATGGACCGTGGACCGTGGACCGTGGAACGAGGGATGTGCAAGAACAGACAAAGACAAATCAAGACAGAGATAGACATCGCATCGCATCGCATCCAGAGCAAGCACGCACGCTGGACATGGTTGGATGGGGATTGCATAATGACATCAAGCTGACTGGTTGGGTGTGGCGTGTCCGACAAGACAGAAGTGTTTACTGGACAGCAAAGCAGAGTAGAGTAGAGTAGACTGAACTGACTGCACCGAAGAAAAAGGCCATGCTTTATCCACTGTCGTTCTGGCAACCTGAGAGATTTAGACTGAAGGAGGATGTGGATTCGTAGTGCTGGTTCTTGAACGAGGCTGAGTGTGTAGGGGGTGCGATAAGAAGAAGCGAGATAGCCGAACTTAACCGAAGCATAACACTAGACAGCGGGATGAACACAAACAACAGACATCATCTGGGAGGAGAGTATCATTTGATACGACGGCCCTACTCTGTAGCCACAGCCCTATTACACCCTCGTTATCCCCGTTATCAATAGCACCTGGGCGCGCCCCCAGTATCGTCATGTCCCTTGTTCCTCTCAGCACTTGAATCCTCCTCGCAGAATCCCCTCTACCAGCGTTGGCGTTGCCCAAAGGAGCGTGAGTTATCAAAGCACTGGACCCTCCACATTTGTGTGTCCTTGTTGTCTGTTTTTGTGTCTGTTTTTTTGTCTTGTCTTCCCTCCACAACCAGGACCATGCTGCACAGCACTGACTATCAATACAATGGACTTGCAATGTGGTATTGTACCACACGAGCCGTGTTATTCTTTCTCAAGTCACAAAGAGTGACTCTTTTCCGCATAACCGCCTTCATGGGAAAGATTTGGGTAGGATTCTGACAAGTGTTAAATTATTTCGAGATGTTCTAGGGAAAAGGGTGGCACATACCGCTTTCTCCAGTCTAGACAAGGTCTTGACAACCATGGCTTGTCACAACTTTCTGACAGTATGGACACGGCAGTCAATCCTAGCACTTCGAACGTAGTTTTCCCACGTATGAGCTTGTGCCCACACGCTGATGGCCACCTTCCACCCAGCACCCATAGTTCTGATGAGTCTTCTGATGTCTGGATCTTCATCATCGTAGTGCCACGTGACGGTATGAGTCTTGAATTCCTGACCCGCGTGAATGTTGGTGATTATCTTTCTTGGTGGGAAATCGAACACAGGCTCTCCTTCCACTTGAAACTTTCGTGGAGGCTTTGGTGGTGGCTCCTCTTCGTCTTCTGACGAGGACATGTCTTCTTCGTCTGCTGAGCGCACACTCTGACCAGGTGGGTAGATCTCGACTTCGAACCAGGTCTTGCTGTTTCTGTATGTTCCGATATCCTGCATCTCAGTGGTGTGACCTTGATCACGAGAACTGGTGCTGAATGTAATGGAACGTAACGCTTTGGGTGGCAATGTGGCAGGCAATTCAGCTTCGACATAGATCAGACCTGGCTTGTGAGAGTTGCGGCTGTGCTCCCGGTCGTTGACATTGACCGGCTCTGGGTCGATTCTTGACACCAGATGAACATCATGCCACAATTCGGCCAGGTCAAGGATCTCTGTCACCACATCACGATCGGTGACACGGGTCAGGGTCATGGCAGTGCGGTAGACATCGCGGTTGGAAGGACCCTTGGGCTCCAGAGGGATGGCGTAGCAGTGTTCATCGCATTTTTCCAGGGCGCGCTCTGCGTATGGACGGACACAGTCTGGTAAACTGGGGATCAGGAGGTATCGGATGATGAGTGGCAAGATAATATTGAGGATGAGTTTGAAGAGAATGAGTTTGACAAGGAAAAAGTAGATGGCCCAGAGCCCAAAGAGGCCCAGGAGAAGATGGTTCAACAACATATTCAAGAAATGAGAGCTCGGCAGGAGGATGACAATACGACGGCCATTGATTAAGAGGAAGGGCGAGGGCTTGTAAGCTACAGTATTAGCAACCACATGGTAGCGGTGGAGTAGGACGGCCGAAGAGGACGAGGATAAGATGCGAGAAAAGATGAGGAAGAGGAGGAGGAGAAAGGTACATGATGACTTGAATCTTTCAAGACTCATCAGGCACGTGGGGGGGATTTTCGGGACTCGGGGGGACGCAGTTGAAGGCTCAATGACCCAAAGAGGGATCTGAACGACGGATGCCTGGTGCTTGGTGCCTGACGCTTCACATCTGATCATGGAAGGTCAATCCGTTTGGCACTGGAAGGTCCGTTGGGTACCTGCCTACCTGTCCCTGTCCCTTTCCCTGTACCTGTACCTGGGAGCTCCATGCCCATCAAGGGAGGGAGACACCTGGACAGGCCTAGGGAACTGGCTCCTTGACGTGTTGCTGACTTGTCTCCCTGCGCCTTCCACTTCCACCCTCTCTCTCTCAACCTCTCAGTCAGCGCCCTCAATGTTCTCACCTCTCACCACCCACAACGGATCTGTCATGAACGATCCTTCCACCAGCGTCTGAATCTCAATATTGCGCCATCCGCTCCACCACAGATAGTCCCCAACCATATTTAGCCTCTCGTCCTCGCCGATCTTCAGCCACCTTCCAACCACTTTGGTGGGAAAGCACCGATTGGAAATGACCAGATGCACCGTGCCTCCCCGCTGGGTCTGTTGTCGAATACTGCCCAGAACATCAACTGGCTTTGTGAGGTAGTCGATGGACACTACACATGTCGAGGCGTCCAGCTTTCCCTCGGTTGGCCCAGGTAGGTGTACCTGTGGATCCTCGTTGAGATCTTGCACAGTCCAATGTGTCAAGACGGGGTTTTTGCTCAGCTCAGCACGGTTCATGCCTGTCCCTAGCACCTCGAGTTCTCCTGACGATGCTGCTTGGGTGACCTCAGCCGGATAATGGGAGATCCAACTGGAACAAAAGTCCAATATGCGTCCTTTGCGAGGTAGGACCTGCGCATAATAGCTGCGCACATTGTTGATGGCATTTCCGTCGATATGGGTTACAAAGCGCGGAGCAGCATAAAAGTTGGAATCATTCCCTGCCTCCATAGGGGTGAGGTCTTCCTGGGAATAAGGAAAGGGTCCTTCAGGATTCAAAGGCACATAGCGCCTTGGTGCTATAGGGTTCGAATCCATTTTCCTCGTGGCTGCAATCAATCCTGAGAACAGGGACATCGACCGAAGATTGATTCTGATGGCGGCAGGAGACATGGGATGTCTCTGCTGCTGTTAGAGACAGAGCAACGATGGCTTTTTCTGACTCTGACATTGATTCGGTCTAGAAATCCATCAGGAGGAAGCTGCCAATGACGTCTTTGACTGCCAACCAACCCAGAAGCGGAAAATTGTTTGGGACGGACAAACTGCGCCGCCATCCGTGAGACACAAAGCACAAAACATGGCAGCGGACGGGCACCTGAAGTTGACCCCTTGTGATACAGCCTGGTATTGTCCTTGAGCCATCCAGCGGAATCACTGCCTGTGGACACAAATGTGAAGGATATATGCTCCTGGAGGAATGGGCACAATGGGGTACGTCAGAACTCAACACGGTGCCAGCAGTGCCACCGCGACTTTACGCGTCCTAGCGTGTTGACAGACAGACATGTTACACCGAATCTTTATCGCCATAAGATGGTGACTTCGGATACATGATCCCCTGTCAAGCGGTGCTGGGCAAGTACTGGACGCTTCCACAATGGTACACAAGGCTACAAATGACCCTCGAAACCCTATAAATCGCTGTCCTGCGTCATGGGCGATACCACGGAGTGATGTGCCGGCCACTGAACAAACTCAATTCACCGTGTCGGCATGCCTTCCTCTAGACTGTGGATGATAGCAATGAGATGCCTATGATGCGGCCTGCTGTCATCCCCATATCGCTCCATTTCTCTTGCGCCTTGCTGATGAAAACATTGCACTCACAAAGTACATTGACTGAAAATCGAATAATAGACAGTTCTTCGACACTATTCTCAGCTGGCTAGGAGCCTATTCTACAGTAATCGGCTATCTTTCTCCCCCCTCTTCTTGCAATATGTTGGAAGGACAGTCTAGAATCGTGATAAGCGGCGCCGGTCAAGGTACAGTTCCCTGTTCATCTTCGGCTGCTCGGCTTGAAGTTGGGTTGACCTTGAGCTAGGCATCGGGAGAGCAATGGCCCGTCATTTTGCATCTCGCGGCCATAAAATCTTCATCCTTGACCTCAACGAAGACAATATCCGACACACCGCTGAGGAGCATTTGAAGGAACACTCGGACCGTGTGGGGTGGTCTAAATGCGATCTTCGGAGCGTCGAAGATATCCGCTCCACGGTCCAGAAAGCAGTCAAGTTTCTCGACAACCGTATCGACTTTTTGATCAACAATGCAGGCATCTCCAATCCTTACTGGCCCGACGGGAAGACCATGGCAGACGAATCAGTTCTGGATAAGTGGCAGGCATATGTCGAGACCAACCTCACAGGCCCCTTCGTCATGTCTCAAGCATGTATTCCTTTCATGAAAGTCGAACAGCAAGAGGACAAGAGAAAACTTCCCGGCTCGAAGGTTGGCAGTGCAGGACCATGTATCATCCATGTCAGTAGCTTTCGCGCCCTGATCTCGGACCCTAATCAGGAGGGCTATGCTTCGACCAAAGGTAACGTGGAATTCCACCATTCCTCCTTCATGCACAATCTCTGGAAAACTGATGACTGACGGGTCCATGCAGCGGGGCTGCTCGGCCTTACCCAGAGTATGGCGGTCTCCCTACAGACCTTCGGCATCCGGGTCAACATGGTCTCGCCAGGGCGAATCAAGGTAACGCATGAGAATCCTGATGCCGACGAGCAGGGAAAGGACTGGTCTGTGGAAGAAGACGATGTCAATGTACACCCTACCAATCGACCCGGGTTGCCAGAGGATATTACTGAGGCGTGTGAATACCTGCTGGGGGCGGGATTTGTGACGGGCCAGAATTTAATTGTCGATGGTGGTGTGAGCAAGGTAAAGGGCAAGGCGTGAGGACCTCATTCTCGTGAGTAGGATAATGTGATGCCAGGACCAATGACTCACTCCCACATCACAACAAGGAAAAAGTGCTGTAGGGTGATGAGCATAGTTACAATCATTACAGGGAATTTCCCGGGAGCGCTTCTGTAATCGATGGGATTTGTTCCCAGGGTAGCACATCGATCGCATTGACCATGATCCCTCAAAGACAGATATGCTGGGAGGCTGCAGGCAAGCACGGATCAATATAAGACCCGTGTGGTGTTTGGGGTTGGACGGCCTCGGAATGAAAAGAAGCCGAGCTCGATCAGGGAATGGCTGGTCGTTTGTAAAAGCTGAAGGACTCGTTTATTGCTTACCCAACCACAAGATCGAGACCATTCGGTGCCGTAATCCCCTCTCGATGGTATGAATTCTTGGTGCCACTGTCATCCCCGGATTTCGAATACGGTGCCCCAGGGTCAGTCGCCAAAGCATTTTATTGGTTAAACCAGATGCCAGCTGACCTCATTGCTCACAGGCTGAATTGTAACGTCTACAAGGATCAACCTATTACAAATAGGGATGCTGAGGAATATCGGATAAGAAAGAGATGGGCAGTTGCCCTCAGTATCGATGCTTGTCCGATACTGTTCTACCCGGATCACCTCTGTCTCGCCATTGACATTGACCAAACTGCGCCCTGCCTCGACAACATTTCCGTGGCGTCAATTGCCAACACGACGGACTATGGCTACGGCATCTCACATCGAGTTGAATCCTGCCCACGCAGGAGTCTACCATACCCCAGACATAACTACAGGATCCGGCAAAATTGGAAGCCAGCTTCTTCAGGAAAATCACGACAATTACCACATCTACTTCAACAATAGTGGCTTCCACAACCACATCGTGCACCATCTCTTAACCATCTACGCCCTGGGAGCCTCTCCCGAAGAGATCCAGAAGGCCTTTGATATTAACAAGTCTTATCAGAGACCCCAGTATCCGGTGAATCAAGGGGAAGTCGAGATCCTTGCAGACCAGGACAAATTCAAGGGGTTCTTGGGCCAGGAGAAATATTTCCATGACTTTGAGGTCTTCTTCCAAAACGAGGTTGAGCAGAAGGGCTGGGAGAATGTCATCAACGAGCACGTCTTTGCGCGGAATGAACACGCTGAGAGGATGCTTGTCAGAATGTTTGCCGGTGAGTTGCACATAAGTCGATCAGGAGACTGGTGCTGACGAATTCCAGGCTTCTTACATCCCTTGATCCACCTTGGGTTTGGTGTCGAGTTCAAGCAGCCAGCCATCATCGTTGAAGCACTTGCTCAGGCAGCAGTACACGATGGGTGGACAGGGGAATTCCTTCACGCCGCCGAGGACGCTGCGAAAGGGAATACGACGTCGAAAAGCTTGGTGCAGCTTCTTCACGAGGCCCGTGCAAATGAACAGCTCCGCAAATCAGCCCACTGGGAGGATGGCAACAAAGTCCGAGATGGTGTCTTCCGCCGCGCGCCCGATGAAATGATATCACTGGCGTCTCAGTGGCACGTCAGACCTGATGAGCTGGAGCAAAAGACAGCTGAAATGATCAATGCGGCCGTTTATTTCACAGGTGCAGCACAGAAGCCCACCAAGCAGGTCAAGTTCGACTTCTTCTACATGCACTGCGTCAACGCGTCCATCTTCTTCTCGACATTCTTGAAGGAACCCTGGCTGAAGACGGAGGACAAGTGCAGGCTGCTAGAGTGGAAGGGCCGACTAGATCTTGCACTGTACGTGTCGCGAGGATGTCCGGAACTGTTGATCGACGAAATCAAGAACTATCGACCCAACAAGTCGAGTGATGGATGGACAGAGATTATACGTCGAGTGGACCGGTTTCCCGACGATGGACATGCCAGTAAACTTGTCCGCGCCATCGCAAACAGCGAGCAAGTTTCCAAGCAGTACGAGAGCCAAGGGGACGACATCTTCCCTATCAAAGGCGACATGTTCTTGAAGCTTGCCCACATGGCAATTGACTCGGTCGAAGCGAGTGAACCCACCTGGGTGAGATCTACGGGCTTTGACCAGGCGTGGGAGAAAGTGCCAGCCCGGGCGAAGCTGTAACTCCTTGGAATTTTGAAGTTTGTGCCTCTGTGTACCGAGTGCACTGTGAATGTATCATTACTGTCTCCTCCTCGCCTTGAACTTCCATTGAGTTCGACGGCCAATGTAGAAGCCGAACGAAGCACGCGTGATTTTGAAGCCAATCATTGCAGACTCCACTGTCCATGGTGAGACTGACAACTTCCCCGCGTCAAGCAGTCATCGTCATCCTCGTCGTGCCACTCCAGGCATCAACGACCTCGACTCTATTTCGGTACATCACGCCCTGAACAGCGTTTGTTCCCTGTTTCATCCCGTCTGGCCTCAACCCTCGAATCATTCTCAAAGTACCACTTCACGCAAAGATGCCAGACGACAAGAAACCCGCCGACAACACCATGGCCCCTCCTCCCATGGACCCCTTCCCCACTTATCAGACTCCCTATCCTCGTCCCCCGAACAGAGACGACGAGAACCCATTCATCCTCTTCCGTCGCTTTGCCGACGAACAGTTCTCATCATTCTTCTCCGGTTTCCCACATCTGTTTGGCCTCTCTTCCTCCGGCCGCGGCGATCGCTTGAAGCAGGAAGTCGACGACCTGATGCGGCAGAGACAGGAGTGGGAGGAAGGCTTCCGGAAGCAGTTTGAGCAAGAGATGGAGGAGATGAGACAGCAGTTGGAAAAGTCCAAGAATGAAGCCTGGAGGTCGATGGAGGACGCGTGGAGACAGCACTCGACGGAGAGTAGTCGCAGTGATACGAGCGATAATACACCCTGGTGGACTAGGGGCAGGGCCGCCCGATGTCCAGCCTTGAACGGTCAAGAGGTCCAGAAGAATGCAGAAAAGTGTCCCGCTCTCTATGATGAAGCGGGACAGCCGAGGACGGAATTGGATGCCTACAATGCACTACCGCAGAAAGCGATTGACACACCAAAGCATGTGTTCGAGGCACCGGCTCACTCGTCGACCGAGAAGAATCCTTCCAGATCTTGGTTCTCTGCGCTTGGCTGGGATGGCAAGCAGAAGGAGAAGTATTCAACCAGCAACGACGACGACGCTGGCGATACCAAAGACAGTGCTCCGAATGAGAAGGCTGTGTCTCCGCCCACGACATATTCTTTCTGGGCCGCCCGCAGGATGCAACCGTTCGAGAACACAGACGAGACAATCCCCTGGCTCATGCTCAGCCCGTACTCCCCAATCTACCTCTGCAACCCAAGACAACCACGACTTTTCAAAGTCAAGATGCAAGACTCGGAAGGCGTGCCATTCCAGATCTCGGACGCCAAGTTCTTTGACAGGTGGTACACGAGTGTCGATGAGAAGATGGCAAGACATAAACCCTGGGCTGACGCGTTTGAGGACTTGTTGAGCCTGCAGCAAACAGGAAAGATGGTCGACAGGGACAACTGGAATACTTGGCGGACCCCCAAGACTTGGATACACGACATGGTAAGCAGGGGCAGCTTTGGCAGTAGATGGGGCTTTAGCGAGCAAGGGATGCTGGTCAAGCGGGCAATCGACCCGAAGTCAACGGCTGCAGCAGTACCGGCGCCAAATGCGGAAGACCGTTGTGCTAGATGGCGCCGGAACCGTCAGTGTCGATACAACAAGTCTCCAGAAGAACCCACACAGCCAGGAGAGCCATCAGAGAGGAAGCCTGTCTTCAACAGTCCCATTCCTGCTGTCACAGAGGTAGCAGCTCCGGCCAACAATGAAGCTACACAGGAAGTCTTTGAGTCAGCTGCTGTGGATTCTGTCACTGAGGAAGAGAGGGTTTCTGATCTTCCTACGACATCGTCTCCATCGACTTACTCGTACGACGCGGCCATTTCATCCTCCATCAACAGTACTGATGTGCCCTCTGACAAGTCTGTGGTCGCAACTCTTACTACGATCCACACACGTACGTTGCCTGATGGCTCCGTCGAGTCCAGACGGATCTTGAAACGACGATTCTCAGATGGGACAGAAGAGACCAATGACGAGGTTTCGGTGACGAATATTCCCAACTCGAGCGATTCAGGCCATGCAGAGGACAAAGCGACACAAACTCTCCTTGCATCTGAATCGACCCAGTCACAGTCATTCAAAAGCGAAAATGTGAGAGGACGCCAGAAAGATGTGTTCGGCGGTTACCAAGATCGATCACGTTTTGATGAGCCCGGAAAGAATGAGGAACCTCCGCGACAGCAAGATGAAGAGTCGGAAGGCCCGAAACGGTTTCCTCGAAGGGTACCAATTCTGACGGGCGAGACGGAGCCTGAGCTGGAGCATGAGCCACAGCCTACACCAACGCAACAGCAGGATGGAAGCAACAACAGCGGGCGACCCAGACGGAGTGGTGGTGGGTGGTTCTGGAACTGATTGAACCCGAGGGGGCAATCAGTGTGAAGTCATCCACGGCATTATGGCACTCCTTCTCACTCTCAAAGGAACCCGAGGTTTGTAAGGGGCCCTCAACACAGATTTCAACTCTTGACTTGTTACCTCTGGTGCCCAGTCTCAATCCAAGAATTCCCTTCTTCTCTCAATGCTGGCACACGGGATGGTTTTGATATTGATGTTGAGTACTGATTGGGATGGGAGAATGAATGAGTGAATGAATCAACGGTTGTATATGCATATAGTTTGTTTGTTTAGTTGATTGATTGATTGATTGATTGATTGGATATACTCCTCTCCATCTATCTTCAATGGGCAAGAGTCCATCGTCCTTCCGAGGTACTTACCACGACCTCTGTCCATCTTCCATCTTCCCTCTCTTCCACTCTCCCAGCACACATTTTTCCACGGAATATATGTAGGAGTCGTAATACGCCACCAAGAGACGAAAACCGGGTTGGAAGACGGGTAAAAAAGCCTGGTGAGCCCGCCCCTCCCTCCACCCCTGAGGGCCCTTGACGTCCCTCTCAACGAGGTAGGTAGGTACTTGGCCTGGCTGGTTGGTCAGGTTGGTTAGGTATATAGACATGTCACAGGTCCACAAGGCTACTCCGTATGCATAGATACATGTGCGTACCGAACACATCATGTACATCAGGCCGATTAGACACCGATCCTCAAGCCAAGCTACCACTTCCTACACCAAGTACCCACGCTGCCACATACCTACGTATGTATATACAAGGTAGATAAAATCCCCGCTGACGTCGACCATTGTCCTCGACATCTCATTCGGCGGCCGTGGTCCGCCATATCATATCGTATCGTATCATGTCCATGTCCGTCCCGGGGGGGATGCACCGTACGGGCACGTCGTATGTATGTAGATGTATATATATAGCAATGAGCTATAAATAAATCACATACCGGGACGATGCATTCAGGTGAGAGAACCCTACAGGTCGGATGGGGTGGAGTTACTGCGTCTGCTCTCGTTCGCGCATTTCATCTCCTTTCAAGTCAATCTTGCCATTCATTGTATCTACCTCCGCTACTGCAAAAGGCTTTCCTGAGTCATGCTGTACTACATACCTACATAGGTATGCTATGCTGCCCGATACCATACCATGCCCTGCCATGCCATGCACCGCTATGTACGTAAATTTCAGGCAAGAATAGAAGTGATAAGGCAGTCAAGCAGAAAGAAATCCAGCAAACAAGCAACATGGAGGCAATCACGCGCGGGATTCCTGGTGGAAACATGTCGATCTAGTCCCCAATGCCGTTGTTGCTGCTGCACAGTTTCCAAACCAAGTTGTCGAATATCCTTGGAACGATCAAATCGAAACAAGACACGTCGCTGTGGCGCCAGAACAAAACTCGCTCAGCCATGCGATGCGCTGCTCGAAATACAGAAAGAATAGAGTCAAACCCACAAACTCCTTAGACATGAAATCATCTGAAGTCGTCCAACTTTCCAATGCCTGGCATATCGCTCTTCCTCACTCGTTCATCATGTCAATCTCGTATTGCATCACGCTTCAAATCGGCTCACCACGATCCCGACTCAAACAATCAACAGTCGTGTCTCATCAGCCAGAGGTGTCTGCCGTCATTCCCTCTTCATGCACTTGGCTGTAGCCTGGCTTCAAGTGGTTTCTTCATAGGTCGACTAGAAAACGTCGTCAGGCCATTCCCAGTTCTCTTTTTGCATAACCTGCATCTGCATCGTTGCAACGTGATTGATCTTCATCCCCTTAATGCCCACAGCTTCATTCCCGGGCTTCATCTCTGATGCTAATTTTGGGGTAGCCATATCATTCGTCGGGCGTTGGTTCTCTTTCCGTGCCTGTACTGTCCCGGTTTCCTCGTCTTCTTCGAGAATGGCAGAGAATGGATGCGAAAACCCCTCTCCCCGGACCACGGACGGACGTCGGCGCTGCTTCTGTACACTGTGCTTTGACTGGTCATTGGTACCTGAAGTTGACATTACACCCGAATTGCCATTTCCCCTGTTCTTAGCGTGGTCCTGATTTGTGGTGTTGCTCAATGTCTTCAATGCTGCACGCTCCGGCAATGATGGGACAGGTGGAACTGCTGTTCCAGACTGTTTCCGGCTCTGTTTCTTTGCGGAGGCTTTGGGAGTGGAGCTGTCATCCTCGTGGACTGCTCCGGGAGTCAGGGGATGCTGCAGGGAAGCCGATGTTGTTGGCTGGGGAGTCTTCTCTTGCTGCCTCTGTCTCAATAAAGCTCGAAGTTGTTGATTCTCCTTCTCCAGTTCCCGACGAGTTGGTCGTTTATGATGATCGAGATCTCTATGCCCATCAGACCACTCAGAGTCAGAGGCGTTCAATTTCGATGGAGATTGACTGAGAATTCTGCTATGGTTTGATGTTGGCTTGCCTTGCGTTTGGTTGCGAGTCGCGGCTAACATCTCTTGTGAAATTTCATCGCCAGTTGTTGCTGTTGCTAGGCCCACGTTGGACTTCCTCCTCTTCATGCCAAACTGTTGAGCGTATGCTTCCTCTGCGCGTCTCTTTCGATCATTGAGGACCTCAAGGTCGTTGCCGTGGTTTGATGCCGTAGATTTCTTTTCGGGACTTCCTGACCCGTCTGTTGTCTTCTTCTTGTCACCATGGAGGTTCCAGAGCGACATGCTTTTCCTCAGGCCATTCTTTTTCTTTGCCGTTGGTTCTGCTTCGTCCCTAGTTGTGTTCTCTTTTGGCTTGGCCTTGGCTCCAAACTTGAAAAGACGTTGCTTGAGGGTCGGGGCAATCGCGGTTTCTGGTTTGAACTCGTTCAAATCGATAGAGGGTCGCTGTGGTGACGCCCGTGGGGTAGAGTCATCCCCTGATTCAATTTCAGAGCAACTGGTGATTGAACTATTCTCGTGCCATGTAGAAGACACTCCAGCAGACCGGGCATTCATACTCCCCTCTGCAAACTTTGACGGTCGTGTAGGTTCATCTTCATGTCCAAAGCCGGAATTGGCATTTTCGATTGTCAAGTGCGAGGGATCAAATGTTGGCCCTCGACTAGTTTTGGGTCTCTCGTTCACATCCACCGAACCAGCCAGGGGAGCAAATGGACGCAGTTCCCTCAGTTGTTTGCTAGGTTGCAAAATCGGGCTCTGTGAATTGGGCGGTTGTAAAAGGAAGACATCGTCTGTCAAGGGTATAGTTGCCCTGGAAGGTGATGGTCTACTCCATGCCTCCCGCTCTTCCTTGATAAAGTATGGCTCATTGTGGGTGTTGTTGAACGTCTTCAATATCGGGTCTCTATTTTCCCACGTTGGACTCGACCGAGAATTACTTCTTGGGGAGGGACTTTCGCGATACGAGACACGTAAACTGGAAACATGTTGCAGCTCTGATGATCTTTTGGGGCTCGCGGACGCGCTTCGAGGAGGAGATGCGGTCTGATCACTCAACGTCCGTACATGTGCTTGGAACCTCTGTCGAGGTGATAGCGAAGCAGAAGACGTCGTTTCTGAGGGATTGGGACACGAGTCGTGGGAGAGGTGCGCAGCTGCCGGAGCCCGGGATGGAGCCATCATTGACTGCGTCTGGGATAAGAGATGGGCGAACTCGAGACGATTCATGGTGATGCAGTACCGATTATGCCATTACAATTATTGCTAATAGTGCAGAGACCATGCAAAAATAACACCCGTCAGCCGCTCACTGACCTGTACAAAGAAGATAATGGTTGAGTCGTGGTGAAGTGAGAGTTGACTGGTTTGTTTACAGTTGCCACGACACTCTCCACGCAGCATGCAACATGCGGCATGCACCAAGGGACATTTGGGACATTTGGGAAATTGGTGGGGCGCTGATTGGCACTGACGGGTGCCGAGACCATGGGTGCCACCAGGCACTTCACGCAGCTTGTCAGCTCCCGACTGGTGGCGCTGGTGGGTGACTGGGGATGATTTCTTGGGGATCGACCGCCCGCAGCAGCATCGCTCAAGCCCTATGAGGTCAATTGCGACAACCCAAGCACCAAAAGTAAACTTTGTTTAGGTGGGAACAAGCCTTCTCTGTTTTCGGTAGGTGGCCACCTAACAAACCTGGGAGGCATACGAGTCCATATAAGCCCGACAGACCCGAGGATCCTTCAGCGTTAATTCGCCCCCAGGGCCTAGGCCTTGGACCACTTAATTCAGCAGCTTCCCTCCCCCTCTCCTCCGCCCTCATGGGGGCTAAAACTGGCCATCCCCGTTGCATGATCACCCTGCAACTACTCGGTACAAGGGCTCCCAAAGTACTCCTCCTGGGTGCCTCCCACATGGCCGCCATGAAGTAATCATCTATGGCTTTCGGGGATTGTCCATCTGTGCATGCGACTTGTCCGCCTTGTAATTCTGTCCTCCCTCCACCGCGACTCGACTCGTGCTTACCGGATACTTAATTATCATCCTACGCCGACTGTGTTTCGAGTTCAAGTCGCACTTACTCCTCTGCGCTCTAGAGGATGAGATTTCGTTTGTCCAGATACTGGAACAAGAATGATCATGCTCAGGCGAGCAACTGCTTGAACCTCCTTCCATGACTGCCCTTTTCACCACAAGATGAGTATCATCCTGTACCTTGCGCGAGAAACACTCTGCTCCTGCTGGCATCCTCTATCCACTTGATCACTTGATAGCAATGGTTGGCGTCCCTGGGAAAAGCAAAGGCTGCAGCACCTGTCGCCGGCGCAAAAAAGGTGTAAGTACCGTGCACAGTCGCGCCATGTCAAGCCTTGTCAACTCCGCTCATCTCATTCCGCTAGTGTGATCAGAAGCGTCCAGTTTGTGGTCAATGTGTCGCAAGTGGCAATGTCTGCGGTGGCTACGATCGCGAACGTACCTTCATTCTCCATCCTGCCAGCAAAAAGGTCGAACATGCCATCTTTGTCGCTCGTACTCGGCCCCCTATCGCTCCTCTTCCGGGCTCAGTCAACCGGGGAGCGGTCGAATCGCAGTGCAAGAGTCTATTTTGGGACCTATATATGCCCCAGGGAGATGCAGCATGCCGAGATGACTTTATAATCCGATGTGGCCATCCCATGAATTGGACAGAAGTGTTCCAAAGTGACTCAAAACATGATGTTTCCCTGGCAGATGCCTTTTCAGCTTTAAGCATTTCAAGAGTCGGTCAGGGTCACAAAGATGTCCGTCTTGTTCATGAAAGTGCGAAGCTTTACGGGAAGGCACTCAAAGAGCTCCAGCTCGCGCTCTTCGACCCCGAACGGATGTATTCCGATCATATCCTTATGGCGTGTATGCTGTTAGGGCTTTACGAAGTCTTTGAGGGGCCGGCATTCAATTCGCGCAGTTGGGTGTCACATGCCACGGGAGCGGCTCGATTGATTCAGCTTCGTGGTGCCAGGCGCCATCAGACTTGGAATTCTCATCACCCCTTTTTGGCCTCGAGAATCCCCACAGTCTACGCTGCGATTTTACAAAGAAAGGCCACGTACTTGGCTACTGAGGAATGGCGAACGATACCCTGGGAATTCCAGCACAGGACCTATTTCGATCGGATGGTTGACCTTGGTACCTTCATTCCAGGCATCCTGGAGAAGTTTGACATTCTTCAGGAGTATGATGTGGACACGACTGCTGAGCTTGCTGCCCTACTGGAGGAATGCAGCGAACTACAGAGAAAAATGAACAAATGGAGAGACGGCACGAAGAAGGGTGCCTTGCCACGAATCGTCGAACATGACCCAGTTGAACAACCAGCTTATCCTTTTGCCACAGATCTGTGGTTCGAAAACCACCTCTTCGCCCACGCACGTCTGGTCTATCATACATGTTCGCTGGCCTTGAGCCAAGTGGGCAATGAGATTTTGAAGTCGCTCTATCTTAGAGATCAAAAAAGACTGAAATCTATGGATGCCCCGTTCGAGGAGCTATTCGATGCGGATGGTCAAGCGGCCAACGTCTGCCGGTGTGTTACCTATTGCCTGCAACCTGAAATGGGGGCGTGGGGCGCCAACATCATCAATTTCCCAGCAAATCTAGCTCTTGCGTACTATCAGAAGACGCGTCACACAGCGGCTATCAACTGGCTTGAAAAGGCTTTCCAAAGCACAAAATCGAGAGGTCTCCACGTGGAGAATGTCTTCGATGTGATTCTGCCTAGTCTTCGAGATCGAGACGATCAAATGCGATTTTTGAAACGAGAATCCAGTACTGAATCGTCGGATAGCAGCGAGCACTCGCCAGCTTCGAACCCTAGTGTTGCGAGTCACACGCTCTCTCAACACAGTCTATCGAGCAATGCGACGACTATATTCGTCTATGAAGATCCCGCCAAAGACTACGATACCGGCTACGAACCCGATTGAGACTCGGCAATAGCACGGCTGTGGCAATATGATGAGAACCACGGGTCACGAGATTCCTTGGACGTTGTTGGGTCTATCAAGATACAAGGAAGACAATTCATAATCTTCCACAAGCCAGAGCCTGAGATCGCCCTTGGCGGCACCATCACAAGGGAGAAACCACGAGGCGCCATGGCTTACCGTCGGTGGTGTGCTTACAAGCAGATGTATTTACGAGCAGAAGAACAACGGGTTTCAGACTAGTTGTTTCTCATTTCTGCTCAGGTCACCCATCCCGAACAACTATAGCTAAAGACGGCGCCACCACAGACTTTTCGAACCCTCATTGCGATTCATGTCTACATTGGAAACCCTCATGGGAAGCTCATCCTCTGTCAAACTATGCCTCAGTGAACGCGCTGGGGCTTCGAGCGATTACGAGAGGTTTGTCAAACGAAAAGTTCCAACCTTTTGCATCTTCATACCGACAGCAGATAAAGTCCGGAAAGTGTCCCAGATATTTTCACCGGTCCAAGTGAGGGAATCCGCAAAGGTCCGGCGATGTCCTCAGGAGTTGAGGTCTTTTCCCTCTGAGAGGCTAGCGGAAGCGCATCATCGACGGAGCCGTCAAACGCATTTATCTAGACAGGAACGATTCCGTGCCACAACTTCCAAACTGGCAACTTGGTAGGATAATGAGACCTCCTAGAGCTCCGGTGCGTTTAATCCAAGCCAGTCACGCCTCGCTTAAGGACTGCCTCGTCGCAAGTTATTCCAAATTATGGTATTGGCAAGATGCGCCGGCGCAAGTGTGCAGTTCGATCCAGATATAGTGGTCGTGACTAATAACCTCCGCGATTGGCCTCAGATTCCGATAGTCTTCAGCGTATCAAGGTGGACGATGATGCCCAGTCTCTTAGCGACCCGGTTGGATGGTTGCACATGCTTCTGGCTCAACTTTGACGCAAGCGGAGGTGCTCTGGTGAGGTGCGACTGGATTTTGTACTACACACGGCGCCTCCCTCTCCTTACAGCTCAAAAATCCAACTTTCACCAAGTGACCAACAGGGGAGTAGGAGTTCGGTCACCTAAGAGTGTGATATTTTCCCGTGGCTGATGTGCTAGGGTTTAAAGATAAAGGCGAATGAAATGATATCTTCACAGCAGACACAAAAGTACGAACCAGGCAAAATTAAAAAAAAAAAAAACTCATAGATAAATGTTTTCCGCATCGGGGAATTGAACCCCGGGCTCTGCATGGGGTTAGAATTTGTGTATAGTAGATATCATACTTGGATCGACTTACGCCGGGTATGATGGTTTTCACTGAAAACCGGCTATGTTACCATTACACCAATGCGGAGGGTGATTGTTGGAACGATTTGAGCTGGAATATTATATATATCCAAAAATTCGTATGTGGGTGCTCGCAAAAAGGTGGGGCAAAGAGTGGGGCTGGCACAAGGCGAGGCTGTGACCGTCACGAGTACGAGTGCGACCGTCAAACAACTCTCTTCGTGCTCAAACCTATGTATCCTCTCCACCTGTTTCCTTTGTCTCGATCCTGGAATTCGGACAGAATCAGTGGATATGTAAAAATAGACTGTATATTCTGGATCATGCACTAGATGCAAGCCACCTTGGAATTTCCCGATGATGAATCTGTGAGGGAGGCAGCTTTGCGCGACACACGTTCGTCCGTCCCTTTATGAATGAGCCTTCGATGGAACAAATGATGACAAATACGCTCAAATCCGCCCTGTGAAATGGTAACGGTATCAATCCAGCTGAATCCTGACGCTCCAAATCCCACTTTCCTTTGTGTTTTGATGACTTTGCAATGAAAGAGCCAAGGGACGATTTTGGCCGAGGCGAATAGTCAAAGGTCAAGGTCGCTGGCGCAATCGCAGTTTCTGAACGTCCAGATACCCGACGGCGATACTCACGGCGCTCGCGAGCATGCAGGAGCCCGTGAAGAGGACGAGCACCTCGTACTTGCCGACGGCGTAGCGGCCCACGTTGATGCGGTCGAATAGCAACATATTGGCGCTGATGGGACCGGCCAGGACGTTGCCGATGCCCTTGCCAAAATTGAACAGGCCGAAGACGGCAAAGGCCGAGGTGACGTCGGTGGTGACGCCCATACCCATGCGGGCCCACAGGGCCGTGTAGCCCGCGCCGAAGAAGCCGTACACCAGGGCGAAGGCGCACAGCATGGCGAAGTTGCGCGCCAGGCCCCACAGCGCGAACACCGCCGCCGCGGGGATCAGGGTCGACGCGAACGACAGTGCCATCACCGACAGGCGTCGGTCCGAGAGGTAGCCAAAGCTGAATTGGCCGAGCACCTGCGACACGCACATGATGGCCAGGAGGAGGGAGCCTTGTCGCGAGCTGAGGCCCAGCGTCGACGCGTACGACGGGATGTACAGCGACGGGAAGAAGTAGCCGAGGCCTTGCATCAGGTTGGACGCCGTGTAGATCCAGAAGAGCGGCGTCTTGAGGAAAGCCCAATCGGTCCGCGGCGAAATACTTTGCGTCGAGGCTGGGAGCCGGCCCTTCAACAGAGGTATCAACGGTCCCGTGAGCACGACCAGTCCTATCGCCACGGCTCGCAACGTCGTCGGATACCCGTACTTGTTGAGCATGACCTCGAGGGACAGGGGCATGACGATGCCCGAGAACCCTGACGCGCTGCACAGAAATCCGTACGCCATGCCCCTCCGCGTGATCCAGTACTCGTTCACCATGCTGATGATGGGGTAGTAGAAGATGATGAACCCGAACCCGTACATGACGCCCTGGGTGAAGATGAGACTGCCGACGGTGCGGGCGAAGGATCCGCAGAGGATGCCGAGGATACATAACGTCCCTGTTTCTGCAATGTCAGCACCGAACAGTTACCATTTTGCTTCTCTGTTGGTGGAGGGTTTTCCATACATCCGAACCATATCATCTGGCCGCGGTACTTTGCGTATCGCTTCAGTACCGGGATGATCAACGGCGCGCCCATGTAGGACATGCCGGAGGCGATGGTCCCGATGACCGAGATGTACCGCTGGTGGACAAAGTCGGGAAGGTGGGAGTAGTAGTTCTGGAAGACGCCAAAGGATAGCGGGAAGCCTGCACCGTGTCAGTGGACGAACGCACCGCAGCACATTCTTGATCTATATTTTCCCTTTGTCGACAACTTACCCCAGAGCAACGCCTCAAACACGAAGGCGGCGAGAAGCAGTTTCCAAGCCGCCCAACCTCCGTCGACGGGGTTCAGCGAGGCCTCATGATTGGGCCCTGCATCATTCTCGTCACGACTTTCTATGTGCTCTCCATCTCGATCTCTAGGCGTCGTTTGAGAAGTCGAGCCCAATTCGACATTGGTATCCATAGTGGTAATTATCAAACCTCGCTATCTATCCCGAAAGGGAAAATTTCATCAAGAGTCGAGGGGTGTGATGAAGTCGCTGGAGAGTGTTGCATTCCCACAATAACCGGATGACAGAATCAGAAGCGACAGAGTCTGTATAATTGTGGGTGTATGAACCATGTCGAACGTTGCATATCGATATCAGATTATTGTCGTTGATATGGCGCATGGCCATGGCAGCCTCGGAGATATGGGATTTGCATCCAGGATATACAAAAGCGAACTAAAGCCGAGGCTGCTTGATGAGTTTTATGTATTACCACCTATTCTACTCGGCGAGTCGGTATATCGTACAAAGGTATGTACATGCCAATAATGAAATGGATCAGAGCTTGAACTCTGTCGCCGCTTGTCACAGCCTGGACGTCGGGAGGTTAATGCTTGACTATTCTAATAACACGTTATGGACGATGGGACAGCCTTTCTTACCTAGTAACTATCGTGCCTATCTACCCACAATGTTCAGCCACGGGTTGTTTTACCATGATGCCATATCTGTCGCGTCTGCACAAATCGACCGTGACTATCGCAGGTTGAAAGCCTAGACGAATATCACCTCGATACCACCTGCAGTGCATCGCCGCGATTGGCCGTTTGTCGCGCAGATAAACCGTCGCAGCGAAAGACTCGTGGTGCGATCTCATCCCGCAAGCACGTCATGCAGAAACGGGTTAGGAGGGATATCCCAACAGACATGCTGCGCGACTACAGCCGAGTCGATCTGGTGGGTTCAGATAAGAAAGCAAATGACTGTCCCATGAAAACCTGGGAGACGACGTTTCTTTCATCGTCAAATCGCGACAAAAATCCACAGCACCGCCGAGAGAGATGGTGGCTCAGAAACTGCCTCCAGACGAACCCAACAGGCTCCGCGTCGCTATCTGCGGCGGCGGCCCGGCCGGCTTGGGTGCCGCCATCGCTCTCTCGGCGCTTCCGAATGTCGAGGTGGCCATCTATGAGCAGGCCAGGGAATTGAGGGAGATCGGCGCGGGCATTCGCATCGGGTACAACTGCTGGAGAGTGCTGGAGCTGATGGGGGCTGCTCAGGACGTCAGGGGACATATGAAAACGACGGTGTTGCATCGGTACGTCTGTCGAGTGTCTCTACCGGTTCATCTAATTCTGTTTGTCTGGGAATTGTGGCGGTTGCTGACTTTCCTATGTATCGCTATGCTATCAGCAATGGCTTGAATGGACAGATCATCGATACGAGAACGTCGTCGATGCCGGTCAAGTATAGAGCGCGTCGGGTGAGGAGGACCAGGCTCCAATCCGCCCTGATCAAGCAGGTCGCTCCAGGCGTCATCAGGCTCAATAAGAGGCTGGTCGCGTTGAAGAATCTGCCTCAAGGAGGCGTATCGCTCCGGTTTGAAGATGGCTTCGAGACCACCGCCGACCTGGTCGTGGGAGCTGATGGCATCCGCTCGGTAAGAGCCTCATCTGTCTCTCTCTCTCTCACTCACTCACTCTCACATACACACTCATACAGATGGGGACCGCTTGACTGACTCCTGAGACGACGGCAAGGTTGTGCGAGACAGTATCTTTCCTGACCACCGCATCAAATTCACAGGTATGCCTTCGGTGGTTCCTAGCCTGTTGTCATGATCCCAAAATCAGGTATTCATGTAATTTGGCCACAGGAACGACCATCTGGCGAACCCTCATCCCCATCAGCGCCGTCGCCCACCAACCGGACCTCAATTCCGGCACGTCCTGGTGGTACGGGCCCGCGGGCCACGTCTACCTCTCCCCCGTCGACGACGCGTCGGAGCTCGCGGAGAGTGAACGCATGTTTGAAATCTCGTGCCGAAACCTCGTCGACCCGGAGATCGCTGCTGGAGGGAAGACCAAGAGATTCAGCTGGGGCATTCCGGCCACGAACGAGAGAGTCCAGTCTCATTTCACGGTGTGTGCAGGCTTTTTTCTCTCCCATGAAGTTACCCACACCCCTGTTTTCCGCCCCGGTCCATCACTTCTTGTCAAGGGGTGCAAAAGGCACTAATATGGGTTGTATGGTGTGGTATGCCTTTTAGGAATATGACCCGCGAGTGAGAGACGTCCTCGCCCTCGTGCCCGAAGGCCAGTGGAAGGAGTTTTCGGCCTTTGCCGGTCCCAGACTCGAGAAACTCACGGCGTGGGATAAGGTCGTGCTTTTAGGGGACGCGAGCCATCCTCTATCAGGTACGCAATTCATTCCACCCACTAATCAATCCATTCTCTTCCTATTATTGCATCGTTGCTTCTCACTCACTCACTTACTAACTCACCCCTTTTCCTTCCGATCAGGCGCCTTCGGCTCCGGCGCGGCCTTTGCCCTCGAAGACGGCTGGATCCTCGCCCGCGCCATCGAATATACCCGCGACGCCCCCAAGGGCCTCGCGCAAGCCCTCGCCATCTTCGACGCCATCAGATCTCCCTACTATCTCAGAATGTATGTGCCCCTCGCTTCCTTCGGCCCTTGCGCCCTTCCCCGTGTGTATGTATATAGACCATGGCACCGCCATGGCACCACCCAGGGCCTACCTACTGGGACGTACCGCGTACTAGTACTAAAGAAAGCTAATTGCTCAGGTATCGATATCTCGACGACCAAAAGAAAAAGGCGACAGAGGCGCTGACCAACGCTGCGGACAAGTCGTTCGAATCAATCCTCGAGATCAAGATGGCTTCGTTCGGCAGCGAGGAGGCCTTGCCGTGGATATACCACAACGACATCGAAGGGGTGTGGGAAGAGTATCTTGAAGGTCAAGGTGGCAGTTAGATATAAGAAGAAAGAAAGAACTTCTCCGTAGGTGCATCTTCGTGCTTGGTCGGTTAGTCAGTGATTATATAGAGAGAGACTCGGCGAGGATTTTGGATGATTTGTCAAGGCTTCTTTCGCAGGATTTGTTCGTAGGATTTGATCGTCAATGTGGTTTCTTTGGTGCTGTATTCTCCACCAGCTGCACAGACCATTGTGCGACTCTCGGCTCAAAGGATCTCCTCGTCGCCCCATCTCGCTATATACATGCCCATCGCCTTGACAGGGAAGTAAAATTTGTAATTCGGATAAGTGATCATGCAACTGCAATTGAACACTCCTTCGATGGCCTCTTGCAGCCATTCTCCGTTCCTTTGCTGTCTGCCCATGATCATCTTGATCGCCCGTCTGAGCGGCTCTGGGTCGGGGTATCCAGCATACATCAGCGCAATGATGGCCCAACAGGTCTGCACAACCTGTGATTGATCATGGTCAACCCACACCCTCAGTTCCGAGGCGCGATAGCTCTCGCCCCAGCCTCCATCGGCCATTTGATGCGAAATGAGAAATTCACATGCTTTCTTGACCCGTGGTGAGTTGGCATATGACTCGCCCACCGAAGCCAAGGATTCAAGGGCAAACATCGCCCCATAGGTGAAGCAAATCCCCCAACTGCCGTACCACGATCCGTCCTCCCTCTGAGCCCGGCGGATGTACTGCAATGCGGATTCCTTGATCTGTTTTATCTCGTCGGTACGATAGTCCGGATAGAACTTCTGAAACAACGACAAGACTGTGACCACGGCGGTGGTACATTCGGGATAGTCGTACTCTACCATGATGCGCCCAAAAACTTCGGCTGCATTGAGCAATTCGAGGTATTCAGAGCCGCGTTGGCACTCGTAGCTGGAAAAGCCTCCGGTATGCTTATTCTGCATGGTCAAAAGCACGTCCACTGCGTCACAAATGCGAGACTTGTCAAGTAGCGGTTTGTAGCCGTGGCCGTTCTGAAGAAGAAGAACGACACGTAGTGCCTCACTTGTGCAGTCAGAGACGGTATAGCCTTGCAGCTTGGTACTGAATGGCCATGCGCCCTTGCGTGACTGACGGTAGCAGACTTCCCGGTCGGGCACTTCGTCCCGAATCTGTTCAGACTCCAAATAGTGCAGTGCATTGGTGAGCATTGGCTTCCACTTCGGCGAGTTCGCCAAGCCAGCTTCAACACAGGCTTGAATGGTGAATGATGTATCCCAGACTTGAACGCCGTTGGTACCGTTGACGAGCATTCCTTCTTTATTAACCCAGAGATATTCCTCGAGACGGTAGAGGTGTCTTTTGAATGAATAGCTGTCAGGTCCTTCTTTGATGAAGCAGCAGATAGTGTTCATGGGGGCGTTGACGGGAGCCAGGTCTGCATAGTCCGTATTGTGGTCTTCATACTGGACGAGTCGCCAGACCCAAGCTTCGGCCTTGTCGACGATGGAATTTGCTCGGAGAAGAGGAATCCAGATCCACACCAAGAGCCAGTTTATCAGATTCAACAGCCAGGATTTTGGATGATAGTTGTCTTCAACGGCAATCGAGTTACGGTGTGACCCGAAATCAATCGAGTCGTAGGGTTGCACGAACAACTCCTGTCGCAATGATCGAATGAGATCGTTCTCAGGAAACGTGAATTTCTTGGACCAGATGTAGGACATGGGGAGGAACACCTGGCGCATGTGAATCCACCACCGCCACGGAGCAATCGGAACCCAGTCAGGGACAAGCCATAGTTCAGGTGGAACTGGATTGACAATATCCCAGCGGGTAATCCCCAAAACACTAAGCCAGAATTTAGCCCAGTGAGGACCGTGGGTTGCTCCGCCCATAGCATGGAGTTTCCCTCTCGCAGTGATCATTCTTTGGTCTTCCGCGCTCGCTCCCAGTATTCGTAGGATGGTGTAGTTCATGGCTGTGCCGAAAACTGAGCTGTGACCTTCAACGTGCAGACCCCACCCGCCGTCCTCATTTTGTCTTGCGAAGAGGTAGTTCCTCATTTCGATCTTGTATTCGAACGGGATGGGCGTTCCCGTCACGTACCAGCATATCACGATGCCCGGGATCAAAAAGAGAGGTCCGCCATATTCGCAAGCCCAGTTGCCTGGAGGGAGCTGCAATTGTGAATAGAAGCTCAAGCAATTATCGATCGATTCAGACGGTTTTGAGGCAGCAGGAAGTTCAGGGAGGTCCTTGGCTTGTCAGTGCAGGTTCGGACCATTGCGGAAATCAGACCTACTGTAGGCAATCCCAGATAATACTTGTCTGCCGTCGATTGTGGCCATTTGGCAACTTCTTGATCGGTCCTGAGGTAGTGCCAGGTTTGTCGACCGGATTCATCAAGCATTCGCCATCTGGATCGATCTATTTGGTCGTCACTCGAGGTGAGGATGTGGCCGTTGATGTGACCGTTGATGTGACCATTGGCGTCGCGGCGCGTTGGCTTCTGCGACGACTGTCGAGTCTGCACCATCTTCAATGGTGGTGTTCAAAACGCCTTGAACATGGTACAAACAGATTGATCCTGATTACCGCGGACGAGGACGCACGAAACACGGTAGACCCTCAACAAGGGTCACCGCCTGGGCACTCGGTACACCGACCAAAAAATTGGGGGAAATGATAGAATGAGGCCACTCGGAGAATCAACTAGCGATGCAGGAACTGTGCTGCGGGGATTGGCTGGCAGGGTCACCACATTGAGCACTGAAGGACAGGTAATGAGCCAAGGATTCAGGCACCGCAGCCCGATTCCGTCTGCCACATGGTTGCTGCTGCGCCAATCCACTAACACCACTCCGAGATTCTAGGGTCCCCTGGCACCGCTCAGCCTTGAGTCTCAGTAGCCAACACGGATGTCTCTTCCTGACAGCCTGTACCTGTACTCATGTTACGACCGTCTCAGCGATACCCGTTCATGGATCCCTCACAACGCCCTCCACTCCATCCCTTGCCACAGCCAGCTGGTGCTCCTATCACCGCCGCCAATCAACTCGTCCTTGACTACATCGAGGCGACCTTCAATGCCATTATACAAGAAATAAGACACACATCGGGGCATGGCAAGCCGGTGATTACCATGAGTCGGGTAGCGGCGGTGAAAGCCTACCCTGATGAAGATGACCCAACGCATCTGCATTGGCACGTTGAATCTCGACAAGTACAATACCACTTTCCCGGCCGGACCAAGGCCGAAGCGTGGAGATTCGGTGAGTGGTGTACACCTGCGGCCGTGCTACGGCTCTGATTCCTTGGTGAGCATGCGTTGGGCGAATTTTGCGTGAGATATATGTTGCAATCAAGCAAGGTGTCACAATCACAAAGAGGTCAGTCTTGTCGAGGACACAAAATGGATTGTCTTCTCATTCAGAGGCAGGGACATTTACTACCACGATGTAGATCTTTTCAAAAATCAAGGAACCGTGGATCGATATCTCGATGAAATTGCCCACACTTGCCGGGTGACGAGACGAGACCTCAACGTCGTAGGAGAAGTGTCATTCCGCATGTCAGATTTCACTTCTCATTTCGTTCGCTTAGGTTGCAAGCCCGAAAGGTCTGGCCGCTGGTCTCTGTAATGCTCTTTCAAACAAGCACGCGCCGGTGGTCCAGACCATCTGCGTGAACACCCCGTTGGCCACCACAAGCCATGTCAATTGGATCCTGGTCATAGAGAAAGAAGTCTGTTGAAGAAGTCTCGCCCAGAAGACTTTGCTAACAACAAAACAGGCAACATTCAATGCGCTGACCGAAAGGGAATTCCATCAGCATCCAGTTATTGGCCCTGGCCTGCTTGTTACCGTAAACTGCACCTTCGGAAGCGAGATGACTTGATGACTGACTGGTTCCTAGGCTAAGGGATACCCTGACATAACGACTCGATATTTCCTACGCCAGCTGCTTGATCAGTCTCCGTACTCGATTCCAGTCTTTGGCTTGTTTGATTGGGATCCAGACGGGGTCAAGATTTTCAAGTGCTATCTATACGGATCGAGGAGGTTGGCACAGGAGCACGGTTGTGACATCCCCGAAGCACAATGGATAGGCCTCAAAATGGAAGATGTTGTCTCGCATCAAGATATTGGCAACCAGACGGTGCAGTTGTCGAAGCGTGATCGAATGACAGCAAATGCATTGCTGGCAAATCAGGAGTGGCACGATCAAGCAGGAATTGTTCTGCCAGGTCTGCAAGAAGCGGTCACCGAAGTTCAGCGGATGCTCATGTTGAATCGAAAGGCCGAAATTCAAAGCCTGGATGAGGGACAAGGTGGCCTGGAAGATTGGTTGATGGGAAGACTGCGTCAACAGCTCTGTTGTAGAAGTTGAGCACAAGAGTTCGTTGCCGCACAGTTGTCCTGGAGTCGGATCGCCCGAATCTGCAATCATAACCCCAATGACCGTCGCACTCCTTCCCTCACTTTCTTGTCGAAATCCGCTCGTCGTTCTCTCCACATTTTTGCTGCCTCCACATTGGCTGGACTCTCATCGTTCGGCTCGGCCAACATTGACATGACAGATATCAAGATCTTCTCGACGCTTTGAATAGGTGACCATCTCTCCGAGGCACTCTCGTAGTGGTTTGGGTCATCGCCGGGAGGATGTAGGATAGAAATGCAGACTTCGCCGTTGGTGTAGACTGTTCCCTGTTAGCCGAAGTGCTCTTGAGCAATTACGATTTCGTTTTTATTTACCGTTGGGATGCCAGATCTCGCCGAGGAACTTCATCTTGGGCGGGTTTAGAGGATAATCTTTGGGAAACTTGAGCTCTGCAGGGAAAATGCCGCCCTCGAAGGGAGTGCCTTCGGGGCCTTGGATCAGAGCTTCCCAGAGGAAGAGGTCATCCTCGCTCACTGGACCTGCGGTTATGCCATCGGGTGGATTGGTCAAGAGAGACTTGTATTCTTGGAAGAGACGCTTGGAGGCCACGCTCGCAGCCATAGCGAATGGAAGAGGTTCGAAAGCGGACGCAGACAAGAGTAAAGGCTAGCGCGAAGAGGAGGTAGACAGGATGAATAATGCGTTGCGCTGCGCAAAGGTGTGGCTGGAATGTCGGAATTGTGAGATAGTGATCTTTCTCGGAGACGACAAGATCAATGATGCCAGGCCGTGGAGAAGTGTGGAAAGCCGGGGTGTGGCACACGTGACTGAGATTGGCTATTAGCGGCAACACTACCTAAAATGGTCTAGTCAACGTACACCTTCCGGGAAATTACGTCATAACACCTCAACATCAGTCACTGCTCTACCAATCACGGCACAGGGTACGGATTGACGAAAATGGTTGTCTACGAGGTATAGAAATACTATTGCCATATGTTCACTCTTGCCGAGAGCCTTGTCCACTTCAGATGTCTTGGTTGTCTCTTAAAACGTGGTTGTCTCGAGCCTTCAAACCTCATATTGCTCATTAGTAATGACATTCGCAAGCACGGTCCTCGAACAGCGCGCTTTCATAGCTTGGTCGAGTTCAAGTCTCGCGAGAAGCTATCCAAATCTTGCCAAAGATGCACCCATTATTCATCTTTCGTATTCGTTTACATCTTGCTGCTTCTTATGCTGTAAGAAACGGTGATGACGATACCTTGTGCAGACTGCTGGGACGATGCCAAAATGACCAAATGAATGACTGAACAATATGGAGTGAAGAAGTAGGTTATTACGAGCCAAGGTCACAGGTTATAAATGCAGCTGCTTGTGCTCAGACAGGCAGAAGATCACAAGTCCTCAATCTGTCACTTTATCTCTCCTCAGCTAGAGCTCAACGTCCTGAATCTTTGATCTTGGACTACCCTTTCTCCGACCAGGATGGCCAAGCTCTTGACCGTTGTGGGAGCCACAGGCACTCAAGGCCTTTCTGTCATCAACGCCGTACTCGCTGATGGCAGCTACAAGGTCAGAGGCCTGACCCGCAATCCCAGCAGCGACAAAGCCGCTGCGCTGGGCAAGCGTGGTGTTGAGGTAGTCAAGGCTGATATCAACAACGAGCAATCGCTGGTTAAAGCATTTGAGGTACGAGGGCTTCTCTCCGAGTCTGCCATTGAAACTGCTAATCACTTGACATCGGTAGGGCTCGCACGCTATCTTTGCCATCACCGACTTCTTTGAACCTTTCATTGCCTATGGTCCCGACAAAGCGGTCGAGATGGAAGTCATCCAGGGAATCAATATGGCCAGAGCTGCCTCCTGCATCACTAACCTCGAACATTACATCTGGAGCACACTACCGAATTGCAAGAAGCTGTCGAATGGCAAATACGTTGTGCCACACTTTGAGGGCAAGAATTGGATCGATGACTATATCAGATCTGATCCAGCTTTACTCGGCAAGACGACCTTTTTCTGGATCACCTGGTACGGGAATAACTTTGGCTATCCAATATTCACACCGAATTTTTTGGTAAGTACACAAGATTTCCAGCAATGGCGGCTCCTACCTGACCATCCCGGGTACTCTGCGCCAAACACCTCAATTGATCAAACTAAGTGCACTCTACAGAAAACCGCCAATGCATACATCCAGCTATCCCCTGCTCAGCCCGACACGCCAATCAAAGCCATCGGCGACCCGTACAAGAACATTGGGGTCTTTGCCCACTCCATCCTCCAGCACCCAGACCTCACGCTTCATGCCCAGGGCCGCTTCGTCATCGCCTACAGTGAAGACACCACGACTGGGAAACTGCTCAGCGACTGGTCCGAGCTCACGAGCAAACCGGCCGCGTACGTCAAAACAGCTCTGGAGAACTTTAGTGCCGTCTGGCCTAGGTTAGGGCTGGAGATGGGCATCATGATGGCCATGTGGAACGAATTGAGAGACCAGAGCTGGAGCGGCGAGGAGGGCCTGTTGACCAGGGAAGAGTTGGGAATTGAACTGAGCGAGTTGACAACTGTCAAGGATGCTTACAAGGCGATGGGCTGGGATGTGCTGTTGTAAATTAAGATGGGAGAAGAAAAGAAGACAAAGGACGAAAAAAGGGAAAGGAAAAGAAGGATTTCCAGACTGTATCTCGTCGAACTAATCAATATGGGTATAAGTGTCCCGATATCAAACGAGGCTTCCCTTCCGCATCCAACAGAATTTTGATTTTCGACAACTCCAGTCCCCAAGACCAAATTGATGCCTTTCTGAGATGGACCGTTGAGGAGGTACTTCACTCGTCGCTGCGTCCGCAGATTCCAGTGGCCCCAGCAAACTGTCTTGTTGCCATACCAGAAATCACAGCGTCTCAAGTGCCCCGAGCAGTTGGAGTGGGTGAGTCCTAGTACGACAAGACCTTCTCCGCAGGTTTTTGCTGCTGACAATGGTCTAGGCTCGCGTGCATGGCTTCTTACCCCAGTTGTTGGAGTCAATAGTGCCGGCTAAGTGGTATTGTCATGTGCAATACTGCCAGCGTGCGAGGTACTCTCATCGTCCCCAACCAGTCAGCCTTGACCTTCAAAAGGCGACATGGTCTGCACCAGGATATTCTCAACTGAAGAGCTAGTCTCTCTTCGCAGCTATCTGCATCCGCATCACAAAGGCATTATGGAGAGGTTCTCTCGTGTGGGAGTCAGCATCGGGTCCACATTTCTATCCAGGCTGTATATACGAGGCACTCATCCGGCTATATGGGTCAGTGACTTGGGCTCGGACGAGTTCACCAAGGCAAATGCATCAACCAGGTCTCTGATCACTGAGGTTTCTCCAAACTCCCAGTTCCTGTACCCCAGACAAAGCTCTTAAAAAACGCTGTCGGGTGTTGTCTGCCGTCGTGCAACATCTGAAGCCCCAGCACGTTGGTGTCGCGACTTGAAACGCCGTCTGGCCCTCCATCATGAATGGCAATGGCAATGCTAACGGCCATTCGAATGTCACCGAGGGGGCTGAACTGGACCGGTATCTGACGCGCAATGTGTTGGACCAGTTCCTTCTCAAGGACAATGTCGTTGTGATCACTGGAGGTGGTCGAGGCATTGGCCTTGCGCTGGCATTCGCTGTGGCCGAGGCGGGCGGATTGGTTGCCATCGTTGATGCTCTGCCAGAGCCTCACGAGCATTACACGCAGTTATTGAAGATCTCGCCGAAGTCCAAGTTCTACCGGTTCGTCATTTCCATTGTGTTTTTTTTCGGCGACTACAGACGCGAGTGGAATTGACCATGGTGGTAGGTCCGACGTCACCGATTTCAACCGGTTGAAAGAGACATTCGACAGTATCGTTTCCGACTTTGGCCGGATTGATGGGTTGTAAGTCCAGCGCACTCTCCGGACAAATATCATGAGCTGCCACGATGGCTGACGCGGCGATTATGATGGGCAGAGTGACGGCCGCCGGAGTCTGCTTCGACAACCGGTTTCTCGACAAGACGCCCGACAGTGTGGTCCGGACTTTCAGCATCAACGTCTTTGGGACTTTCTTCGCGACGCAACTGGCCGTGGCGCAAATGATTCGCCAGCCCCGAAAGCCGAATGCGTCGGGTGCTGGGTCCATTGTGATGATCGCGTCTGTGGCGGCACACCAGTCCAGCAACCACCAGTTTACGAGCGACTACTGCTCGAGCAAGGGGGCGGTCGTGTCTCTGAAGAGTCAATTGGCTGTTGAGCTCTCCAAGGATGGGATCCGGGTTAATTGTATTTCTCCAGGGTGCGTACCAGATATCTCTCTCTTCCCTCCTTTTTCTCCCTTACAAGCTCTCGAAACGGGCTATTGCACTGTTCACAAATTGGCCTGTCCCAGACTTATTGACACACGCATATAGATATATCAACACCGACACCCTCGTCAACTACGGCAAGCTGCACCCCAAAGTCGCCGAGGTGGCTGTGACAGAGCCCCCTTTCCACCGTATGGGAGATAGGAGCGAACTCAAGGGCGCCGCCGTGTATCTTTTGAGCGAGGCGAGCTCTTACATGAGCGGGTCGGAGATGCTGGTTACGGGAGCACTACATGTTGGTCGCTATTGGGATGGAAGCTGACAACTCCGGTTTCTTCGGTTGTTGTAATGACGGGTATTATAACAATCTTCTCTCTATGGTTCCCTTTTTTTTAGTCCAGCATGTACTTTTTCTTGCGGGGTCTATGGCCATCAGAGCACGTCAAAACTTTGGTGGCTGTCAGAGCCCAGATGGTCTCTGTGACACAGCAATGATGGAGACATGACACGACTTTTGAGGGGCCTATTGAACCAAACGATATGTTTGTTGTAGACTTTATACTCGCTACTCACTCGGTCAAGAACACGGGATGTATTTCTCCCCCCTTGGTTCCATCTTTTATACGTCCGTCTAAAGGGTAGCCTGTGATACGAGATATAGGACAAGTATCGACTGTTCTCTCAGAATATGGCAATCGCGCACGGAGGACTCGCCACTCCGCCCTTGACGTGCAACGGCGCACTGGTGAAGAAGAAGGACCAGCGACCGTGCCGTTCACAAGCCCCAGCCAGACCTTCCAAGTCCCAGAGCTCTCCCAGCGGCGTCCCCCACCAGACCAGCGACCAGTTGTGGAAGCTGTACTCCCTTGCCGGGGACGGCGGCCACGCCTCAAACGCCACGGTATCGCCAACGTGGGCTGCAAAGTGCTGGTCGTACATCCACGCAACGGTTTCCTCGTCCGCGGCGATCCCGATGGCCGGCTTGCCGACACCGAACGTGCAGGCTTCCCGCTCTTGCGAGGTTGCTCCGTTGTGCCGCTTCACGTAGCCGGACCGGATCATCAGGATGTCGCCCTGTCGGGGTGTTGTGCCTTGGTCCTCGAGCGCGGCTTGGATGTCGCCCAGGGGGATCTCATATCGCGTCCACGGATCTGGGGCTCGCCCGTCTCTTGTCTCGTAAAATCGGACCTGTTCGGCTTGTGAGTCAGTAGGTTGATCCACTCCTGCTCAGAATACCCCCGGTGAAGAGTGATGGGAAGGAAAAAATTTACCATATCTACCAAGATGCCCCGACCGACGATGCCGCCCCTCTCGCACCAATCTGGAGCCACCGAGGTGTTAGGTTTTAATTCTGCTGATATAATAGAAAAGTTCGTGTGATTCGTGTGGTCGGATGAGAAACTCACGGTGTGTTCCGTTTGTGTTTGACCGACACGCTTCCTCGTATGTCAGACCGTTGTAGAAGACATTGTGACCGTTGCCGTAGCCGTCCTAGAGTGAGGGTGAGGGCAGTGAGTCACACGCAAATTGACAAGGACAAACCACAAAGCTCCCCATCCGTTCGAGAGAGACTCACATGTTTCAGTCCGTCCCATTGCGACCCGCTCTGCGTGTTCATGTGGATTTCGTCGTCGAAGCCACATATCCCGAGGGGCTTGTGGTCGATGATCCTGTGCTCGAACGGTTTGCGATTGTAACCCGGGAACTGTTGATTGTGGAGTGGCCAGTCCAGTTGGACGTGCTGTCCCGTCTGGATTTCCTTGCTGGCCTCTCTGACCACGGCGGAAGTGAGGAGGTTTATGGCTTTTTTTGTGACCCATCAACGTTGATGTCCTGATTTGGGCTTTTGTGAACGAGGGAAAGGAAACGCTTACCACCCACTTCGTCCTTTTTGCCCTGGCGGTCGTAAAAGCCCCAGAGACAGCCTTGCGGGGTGTTGGGGATCCGTGGCAAGTCGCCCCATTTCGGGAATGTATATGGTTGTGTTTTCGTACCCATTGGCAAGGGTTGTTTGTATGTCTGGGACGTTAGGAGATCGAGTTTTTCAGTGCTGTTCGCTTCGACTTTACTCGAACAAGATCGTTTACTCGTGTCGTGAAATCGTATCTCGGGCCTTGCGAGGTCGAAAGGCCCGCTTGTATGTAGACCAGTATAGCCGGCGGTATTAGAGAACTCCCTTGGTTAGACAGCCTACTTTCGGAGAGCGCATGATGGACCCGACCGCCCAGCATACGGGGATTTCAGATATCCCGTCGAATGGCAAAGGCTGGTGATTTTCATCGGGGTATAGCCGGATCCTCTTTAGTCTCAAGTACTTTACGGTAAACCCTTTGCATGTACTGGTTTTATGGTCAACTATTCTGTTGAGGGGGTGACTTGAAAGAACTGACATGTGAGTACCCGGGAGACTACTCCATCTCGATCATACGCACACTTATATACTCGAGATCATACTAGAAGTCATCCATGCGCATCTTCTACCACCACCACCACCTCTAGGAATGCTCTGCTATGGCATCCCCAGACTCTGATCCGCCATGCCAAAAGACCCTGAAAAAATGGGGAAATCTACAAAGTTCGACAAGGCGCCGCCGTCCTGCGTCATGTCGAGAAACGTGGAGAGCGTTGGAAGATCGTCTCCAAAGTCATCGACAAACTCGTCGGGGTGTAGCGCGTCGGCAGAGGACTCTCCCGTCGTCGTCGTCGGTGCCCAGCCAGCGTCGTTCTGCCTGTCGCTGGGAAGGCCGAGGCGGCCGACCAGATGGTCGAACAGGCGGAGGATCCACGGCGATGCGTCCCAGGTTTCCAGGACGGTGTGCCACAGCATCTGACACGCCGACAACGCGGCTCTGCCGTGCTGGGCGGTCATCGGGTCGGAGGCCTTCATCTGGGTGAACATGACGGCCTCGGCCAGGAACACGCCCTGGAATGTTTCATGCGGGATGCACAGCGGGATCGACTTGGCGTAGATCGTGTACACGAGGCACGTAATGTTCCTGGCTGCGATCTCCGGTGCAGGGATCGACCTTTTCAACAGCAAGGAATTGTCTTGGGTAGAAGTAGACGCCAAACCAACACCGCCGATGGGCGGCTGGTCTTGGTGGAGGAGTATCAAATGGTGGTTGTAGGTTGTGCAGAGGCACAACGCAAAGGCGTCGAGGTTCGCGTCGCCGTCCACCCACTGAAGTTCCGTGGGCAACTCGTGCCGCCAGCGCCGCAGTTTCTCGTACAGATGGGCAGCTCTCGACTGCAGTCGGCCGGGCCGAAAGCGAGTGTTGACAATGTCCTTGAGGATGAGCGACAGTCGTGACATGTGGATCTGGTAGAGCCCGAACGAGTCTCGTAACGGGTGCGACTTGAACTCGGGGCTTTGCATGTCCTCCTCAAAATCCTCCATCAGCAAGGGCTCGATGTCCACCTGGTCTTGGTTGATGCGGAACGGGCGCCCGACCAGGCTTTGGCAGTGGGCGTCCCGGTTGACGAGCGTCCACCACAGCCTCTTCAAGAGACTGCGGTCAGAAACGTCCATGTCGGCATTGGCCATGGATCGGTGAATCCCCAGCGACTCTGCGATGGTGACGGCCGTGCCGATCCAGCTGAAATAGTTCCAATGGTTGAGCGGGCCGCCTCCCCAAAATGTCATGTAGACGGCACTCTGGAGCTGTACGATCTTGTCCGTCTCGTAGCCGACTTCGAAGAGCACCTTGGCTTTGCGGTAGGATGCCAACCTCGCATCAAGCCGCGAGAGGAATCCGGCGCGGTGGATGAGCGCGAGGTCGCAGAATGTGGCAGCGATCGAGCAGATGGCATGCAGCAGCATGGCCGGGACCTCATCGGCCTCATACTGTCGTATGAACTCTTGTCGATTCACTATTGGGTACAGAGGATACACGCGTCCCAAGTAGGTCGCCACCAATGCATCGAGCATGTCGGCGTCGGGGAATGTGAATGCCCCTTTCGATTTGAGGTATGTGATGTCTTCTGGCCGCATATGCGAGGGGTGTCGCTGTCCCGATGGCTCTTCTACCACCGAGGGTTCGGACACGGGAGGTCCGGGATGATGGAGGCGTGTCCGTCCCCCTTCATTCACCTCTTCCAGGACCATGCCCAATGGGAATGACTCGCCGAGATACGTGATGGAGCATTTGTCGAGCGCGGCCTTCTGGTTATGGGACAGATTGTCAAAGAGCCTGTCAAACATTGTGGTCCATGAAGGTTCCCGATGAGAGGAATCCGGATCTGTCGTCGCGAGGTCCAACATGGGCGAGGTGGTGGCCTCGGCCCCAGATGCGGGTGAAGTGACACGACGGTCCGGTGGCGATGCTACAGAGTCTCGACTTCTGCCGGCACCACGATTTGCTCCTCGCAACCCCGCGGTCCCTGGCGCCGTTGAGTCGGGATTCCGTGTAGGTTGGTGGTGATCTTCATACTGTTCTTCTGTCGTTGTTTCTTCGGGCGCGACTGATCGTTGGTAGTCTTGATCGCGAGGCAGCGCCGTACTGCGAGGAACTGCGGACCGCACCCTTTGCGCTGGTTGATGCCTCGCTCGTCGGGAGGCTGTTCGAATGTACGTACCTCTGTTCGATGGCATCAAGGTACATTCACTGTTATCGGCCTGTTGACATCCCGTGCAGGGCATGCCACCCTCAATGGCATCGCACTTGATTCTCTTGACATGACATCTCCTGCAAGCACGCGCTGCGCGGCACCGCACGCCTTCGCCGGTGACCATATCTTTTAGAACTGATCAGTATCTCTCAAGGGCAGCAGTCCAAGTAACGAAGCGAAAAATTCAGACTTCAAGATTTTGTCCTGAGAGTCGATTAGAGCGCTGGGGGGCAATTGGTCACCACAGGCTGGGGGGATCCACAGCCAGTCCAACTAATACGACTACGGAACAAGCGGGAGGTGCTCAACCCCAAGGCCTCGGTTCTGCCAGATTGCGGGGTGCAGCACCCATCGTGCCCATCCTAACCCCGGAGAGGGCCCTGGCATGCCTGGCTCGGTGCTGGTGCGGGTGCCGTCCCAACTGAATAATAATGCGCTACCTCCTGCCTGGGAGGGAGCCCTGCATATTCGATACTGCGTCCAGCTGCTCTACTCGACTACGCTCCACAGAGACTCCGACACTACATAATAATCTCCAACATGGTCAAAGTCTTGATCAGCAGATTCGAGAAGGGGTCATAAACTTCGCGGTCTAGGCGCTGCGTGGCAAAAGTGGCCGCCGGATATATGCCTACGTGTACTCGTAGGCATGGTGCAAATAGCCGGCACGGGGGTCAATACCCTGTGACACCCATATAGCCGGAGAACATTTTCACGCAGCGTTTGTCACACGTACAGAAGAGGCACGAGACAAACCATACTCCAAATTTTCTCTCCCTTTGGATTCGCAACTAGAAAAGTTACGACTGGTCATTCACAGAGGAGAACAAACATCCTATTCCCTACTTACTCCCAGGTGCCTCCCGCAGGGGCTCCAGGCATGAAATGTCAGACCCACTGTGAGCGGTCATGATTGGTAGAAATATAGTTTCCTCAATAAGTTAGGCCAAGCTACAATCGGCTTAGAATTGAGCCCTCCAACGAATCAAGCTTGAAAAGATTCTGTGGGGAATTACTGCCAAGGCTTCCTTCCTCCCAGAATCCGCTCACTCAAGTGTCCTTCAGCCACGGAGCCTGTGACTCTCCTTGTCGGTCGCGTGCTGGTCTCAAAGATACCTTCATTCTGGGAAGCCAAAGTCTTCAGGACGAGTCCTTATCCGAAGCCTCCCGTCGTACCGGCAAGTTAAGTCGGCGGCATGATTCTGAGGTCGTCCAGCCTGCGGACACTTTGAGCAAGTAGACAGATATGGATGCCTGGTTCGTTGTCTGTGTTCGACCTGGGCGGAGCCTAATCTGACGAGATGACGCACTTGATCAGACCCTGCGGCTTTTGAAGCACCAGATCAAACGCCTTGGCCGCCTCGCGGAGCTCGAAGCGATGGGTCGCCAGTGACTTAACGTCCAGGCGACCGGAAGCCAGCAGCTCGATGGCGGTTTCAAAGGTATTGGCGTACCGCCAGAGCCCCAACAAGTCGACTTCGCGCTTCGCGGCTGCTCCCACGTCGACCGATTGCAGTGGACTGCCCATGCCGACCAAGACCACCTTGCCGCCCGGTGCGGTGCAGTGGATGCCGACATTGACGCACGTTTCGACCCCGGTGCACTCGAACACCCGGTCCGCAAGTCCAAACCCGGGCTGGCCGAGGAGATGCTGGGCCGTGCGCGCAAAGATCTCTGCCTTGGACAAGTCCTGCCATTGACCCCGTGGCATCAGCTCGACGTGGTCGGCAAGCTTGTGAGAGTGTGCATAGTCGAGCCGAGATTGGTCGACGTCTACCATGCACACTCTCGACGCGCCAGACAGCCGGGCGACACTGGCGCAGAGAAGCCCAATGGCACCAGCGCCCATGATCAACACGGACTGCCCGGCTTCGAGTCCCGCACGGCGTCCTGCGTGCATGGCAACTGAGAGCGGTTCGATCAAAGCGCCTTCGGTGAATGTGAGACTCTCGGGGAGGCGATGCACGAAACTCGCTGGGTGGTTGTAGACCTGCTGGAGAGAACCCTGCACAGGAGGATCCGCGGTCGCTGACCCCGTGAACCTGAGGTTGGGACACAAATTGTAGATCCCCCCTTTGCACTGCTTACACCCGCCACACGGCCGCTGTGGTTCGATGGCCACTCGATCCCCGACCGCGACTGAGGTCACGTCTTTGCCCACGGCGACGACCTCACCAGCAGCCTCGTGGCCGAGGACCAACGGGTTGCGAACGACATAGTTCCCATTGCGCCCGTGCTCGTAGTAGTGGATGTCCGTCCCGCAGATTCCTGTGGCTCGCGGTCGAATCTGCACCTCGTTTGCCCCGGGTGCTGGAGTGTCGACCGTCTCCAGTCGAAGGTCCTGGGCGCCATAAAGCACCATGGCCTGGTGCCTGTGTCCGGAACTCATCGTGGCTCGCTTTTGATGGGATGGTAAGCAGTTCAGAGGTGGTACACAGGCACACGCTGGACTCTTTAAATCATTGTGCTCGCGAAGTTAGTCCCGCTTTCTAGCTTCCTGGACGAAGTGGATGGATTGGGGTTTGCCAATCGAGCTAGACATTCTGCAGTGCTCAATTCAGGAGTTGGAGAGTTGTCGGGCCGGAAACTTCGAGGGCATATATCCGAAGGCCCATCACACTTGCCCAAAGGTGACTACAAGCCGTAGAGGGGATGATACACAAACCCAGAAGTCAAGGTCTAGCTGGGCTCTAATCAAAGACGTTTAATGTAAACGCCGTTTCAATCAGGAAAATTACTGAAATTCTTTTGCAGTCACAAAATATCACAAATACTAACTAAACTACCTAGAGACCCAGCTTGTGCAGTGTCGAGAACGACTGCACCAGAGTAGGAGAAAAGTGCCAGGCCACCTCGGCCAGACAGCCAGCGCCCAGGACGCTGGCGGCTAGCTTCCACAGCGGATGCACGGGGTGGGTGCCTTTACCGCCGGAGATGGTATAGTCCTTCCAGACGGGCCAGTACAGCCGGTACCAGAACATCCAGGTCGTGTCGAAGTAGTTTGTCGTGTTTCTGCCGCGATCGTCGCGGTTCCAGTTCACACAGTTGGCACTCCAGACCATGCTCTGCAACTTGCGCTGGACGTGGTTGGCGTCCAACATCTCGGCCGAGTCTTTGATGTCGATGACCTTGAAGTGGCCCGCGAGCACCGGCCGGATCACCGTCTTGATGATGAATTCGACCTGGACCTCGTCCGTGTAGATGACAGAGTTATGCGCAGGGAAGGCATTGGGCCCGAAGACGATGCCAAAGTTGGGGAACCCACTGACAAACGTGCCCTTGTACGCCTGAGCGCCGCGGGTTTCCTTCCAGTGCTCCGAGAGGGTCTTGCCGTTGCGTCCCGTCACCTTGATCGGGGAAAGGAATTCCTGCATGTTGTACCCCGTCGACAGGATGATGGCGTCAACGTCAATCGTCCTCTCGCTCGTCCGGAGTCCCGTCTCGGTAATCTCAAGGATCCTCTCCGTCGTGAGTTCAAGATTGGGGCTGTGCAGACACTCAAGCCACCCGGGATTGAAAACGCGACGTTTACAACCCAGCGGGAAGTCTGGAATCAGGATCTTGTGGTATTTGGCCGGCGCCGTCTTCTTCATGTACTCGATAGTCTCGCGCGTTGCAGCTTCACGGGCCGCTACAGCGTGTTTGGTGTCTGAAGTGTAGAGCTCGTGCAGTGCATCAGTTGTTTTCCAAAGATAGAATCGATAGAGCCGCTGCCACAGAGGTACGTACTGGAAGCACAGCTTTTGAAACGTCGAGAACTCCTTGTTGGGCCGCTCGTTGATCCATTGAGGCGATCGTTGGAACTGGTAGACATATGCTGCGTCCTTGACCACATACGGCACCAACTGCGCGGCTGAGCAGCCGTTCCCAATCACGGCCACTCGCTTGTTCTTCAGATCATAGTCGTGGTTCCATCTGGCCGAGTGCCACATGGCGCCTGTGAATTTCTCATGGCCAGGGATATCGCAGGGTTTGGGATACGACTGGACGCCGCAGCCCGAGACCAGGAACTCGGCCTTTTTCGTGTATCGATATCCCGTCACGAGATCAACGAGTTGGACTTCCCATACCGCCTCGTCTTCTATCCATGTTGCTTCTGCGACTTTGGTGTTTAGCACGAAGTGGTCACGAATGTCGAACTTGTCCACCGTGTCCTCCATGTACTGGAGGATCTCGGCCTGATCGGCGAATCGTCGGGACCAGTTGGGATTCAGGTTGAAGGAAAACGAGTACAGGTGTGAGTCCACATCGCAGCCGACGCCGGGATACGTGTTTGTGCGCCAGACGCCGCCGATTCCGGCTTCTTTCTCGTAGGCGATAAAGTTGTTGAAGCCCAACTGAGTCTTCAATTTCACTCCCAGCGCAATTGCGGCCACACCGCCTCCGATGATGATCAAGCGTGGTTCGGGGTTAGCCATTTTTGGCGACATGGAATGGCTATAGTTAGAGAGCTGAAGAGAGTAGATGTTGACATTCTGTTTATACCACCTAGAGCAAGATCCAAATACAAAGGTCCAAGTCATCCGGGCCCTGTATAGCGAGGCCGTGTTGGGTGACTATGCGGATCATACTGCCTGTATGCTAGTGGATTGCCGACAACTTGTCACTGCCCCGGCGTCTCCTGTTGAATCATGAGACCGGAATCCGGGATTTCAAAGCCATAATGGTAGATCGACCTGGGGCAAGCTTGCTTCATACACGGGCAAGTGTCAAGAAGCAAGGCCCATCGACCGTGGCCGGCTGTCAAGGTCATGGGTATATGCAACACTCCGCGGAAAGACTGTTGGATCAACTTAGCTAGAGACATCCCAGCGGGAAGATTTCTATTTTGGAGTTTATGGGAAGGTAAGCTTTAGAATATCGACGAACGTGACACGTTCGATATAACGACAAATCCCCATCAAGGACCCCTATGGCCATCCCGCTCTGTAAAGCAAATGTGAAAATGAGTGCCCCGTTGGTGGTCAACGGAGCGAACGGCCATGCGATACCCCTGAAGGCCGACTTGGGGCTTGTTCAGAACGACGACCAAGATGCTGTCCGTGAGATCCGCAAGTTGGTGATCGATTGCTGCAGACAGAACGGTGGTGGTCATGGAGGATCAGCCATTTCGATGGCGCCTTTGGCTGTTGCGCTTTGGCGACACGCCATGCGATATAACCCTCGCAATCCAGATTGGTTTGATCGCGACAGATTCGTGCTTTCCAATGGACACGCCGCGATCCTTCTATATGTGATGCTTCACGTCACTGGATACCCTGGCATGACACTCGAGGAATTGAAAATGTACGCGGATCCAAAAGCTGTCGATCCAGAGACGGGAACATGGAAGGAGACTGTCTGTCACGGTCACCCAGAAATCGAGGTGCCTGGCGTCGAAGTTACCACAGGACCACTCGGCCAGGGAATCGCGAATGCCGTCGGTTTGGCTATAGCATCGAAGCAGCTCGCAGCTACGTACAACAGAGAAGACCACGACATCATCACATCGCGCATTTTCTGTACCACGGGCGACGGGTGTCTTCAAGAAGGTGTTGCACAGGAAGCAATCGCCCTCGCTGGACATCTGAGACTTGACAACCTGATTCTATGCTACGACAACAACGCTGTGACCTGTGACGGGCCTCTTGAGTGGATAGTATCTGAAGACACCAATGCCAAAATGCGTGCTTTGGGATGGCAAGTAATTGATGTCTTTGGCGGCGACAGCGCTGTGGAGGACATCGTCGCTGCCCTCCAACTGGCTCGATCACCGAGTCCCGACAGCAAGCCAACATTCATCAACATTCGGACAACTATCGGCTTTGGGACATCGACGGCCGGGACCTTCAAATCCCACCATGGAACCTACACCGACGACGACGCGGCACTCTTCGCCGAGAGTGCAAACACACCAAGCCACACCCTCTCGAAAAGATCAAAGGCGTATTTCAATTGGTGCACTTCCAACGGCGAATCGATAGAAAGAGCGTGGAATGACAAGTTTGGGAAATATCGCCAGGCATTTCCCGAGCTTGCGGGGCAATTAGCAAGCCGGATGCGAGGAGAGCTTGAATTCGAGCATCTGTTGACATCGATGCAAGTTCCTGCGACCATCCAACCCACGAGAACATTCAACGGACAAGTCTTCAACACGCTCCTCGACCATATACCTAGTCTCGTGGCCGGAGGAGCAGATCTGTGGAACTCCAATCAACTAGGGGACCAGTCGCACCGCATCTTTGACAGCGTCAATCGACAGGGCCGGGTCATCAGATATGGGATTCGCGAACATGCAATGGCGGCCATCTCGAACGGACTCGCGGCCTATTGTCACCAGACGATAGTGCCCATCACTGCCACTTTCTTCATGTTCTACCTATATGCAGCGCCAGGGGTGAGGATGGGTGCTCTTAGTGGACTCAAGGTCATTCATATCGCCACGCACGACTCGATTGCTGAGGGACAAAACGGGCCAACGCACCAGCCCGTCGAGGTAGATTCACTATTTCGAGCCATGCCAAACTTACTTTACCTACGGCCTGCCGATGCTGAAGAGGTAATCGGAGCGTGGCTAGTGGCACTATCAGTCAAAGATCAGCCTGTGATGCTGTCCCTCGCAAGAGATCCAGCGACCACCGCCGTACCCTCTACAGATCGATACAAGGTGGCACGGGGTGGGTATGTCGTCGTTGAGCACGAAAAGGCCCTCGTGACCCTCGTGTCCTGTGGCTCGGATCTTCCACATGCTGTCGCTGCTGCGGCTGAGCTCACGGCCACCAATATACCAACACGGGTCGTGAGCATGCCCAGCATCGATTTGTTCGAGCAACAGGAGGAATTGTACAAGATCTCGGTGCTATCAACGACCAGGCACATCATTTCTGTAGAGGCATATGTGTCCACCATCTGGGCACGTTACTGCACGGCATCGGTGGCGATGAGCTCGTTTGGGTACAGTGGGAGCGGTGCAGCGAACATGGCACGCTTCGGACTGGACACGCGCGGGATTGTACGTAAAGTCAAGGCACACGTGGAGAGGGAGCCGAGCTCGCCAACGGCGCGATGGAGGCTTCTCGCATAGAGTGTTGCTAAGACAGACAGTATACTCTCCAGCAATAGCAATCAATAGTATCCATTCTCAAATCCTGTGGTAGAAACCTCATCGACAGTATCATATGTTGGGGAACTTCGCATCTCCGATGAATCAGACCTCACCGAAGAGGCCTTCACCCGGAAATGACAGTTTGACCCCCTGATCCATCCCGGGTCGTGGTACGTAAGCCTTCAAAAGTTGTTTGGGTATGTACCTCGTATATACAGCCGTAGGGCTTCGCCCCACGAAATACCCGGTTACCGGATACAGCCTGTCTACAAAACGGCACGATGAGATCCACAAAATAACAAGGTTTTTTTTTTCCACAACATAACGGCTGACCGACCATCCAACCGAAGTGTCGCATGTCCCTCTCACCCAAACTACCCGGGCTGCGCTCAATTTGCGAGATCTGGGGGAGAGAGCCGGGGTACATGGCTCGTGGGGTATGAACTCCTGATTTTGGGGGATATTATACCTAGCCAGAAATATATACATATATATATATCATATGCCTTTGTGGCCAAGGAGGGGGCATTACGGCAACTTGAAAGTCGCAAGGACCACGACCACGACCACGACCACGACGAGTACAAGAGTCTTTGCTTTCTCGCGCGCGTGTCAACCTTGATCAAGCATTCATCCTTTTCTCTCCCTCCCCCCTCGATCAGAGTGTCCCCAAGAGACCATCTATTTCAACAATGCTCCGGAATCTCCAAGGCCGGAGCCTGAGCGCCGGCATCTCGCTGGCCTGTGGCTTTGCCTTTCTCCTGTTCGGCTACGACCAAGGTCTCATGGGCGGCCTCCTCTCCAACCCGCGATTCGTCGAGACGTTCAAGAACCCGAATCCCACGATCCAGGGCCAGATCGTGTCGACCTACTATCTCGGCTGCATCGTGGGGGCATTCATCTCCATCTTCGTGGGCGACACGTTCGGCCGGAGACGAGCCATCATGCTCGCGTGCACCCTCGTCGTCATCGGAGGTACCATCCAGGCGTCGTCGTACTCGTTGGGTCAACTGTTCCCCGGCCGCGTCATTGCCGGCATGGGCACGGGGATGAACACGACGGCCATCCCCATGTGGCAGAGCGAGACCAGCAAGGCCAAACACCGCGGCAAGATGATCGTGCTCCAGCTCACCCTGGTCCTGTCGGGCGTGGTCGTCGTGAGCTGGATGAACTACGGCCTGTCGTTTGCCGACGCGACCAGCGTCAGCTGGCGGTTCCCCATTGCGTTCCAGAACTTCTTCGCCTTGGCCAGCATCGCCTTGACGTTCCTGATGCCCGAGTCGCCGCGGTGGCTGTGTCTCAAGGACCGCAACGACGAGGCACGCACCGTCATTGCCCGTCTCGCCGCCGCGCCGCCCGAGTCCCTCGAGGTCTCCGAGGCCATGGCCCTGATCCTGGAACAGCTCCAGCGCGAACGAGAGTTCACGGGGTCCCGCTGGAAGGAGGTCTTCACCAACGGCAAGCAACAAAACTTTTACCGCATCTGTCTCGGAGGTGGGTGCTTCGTCATGCAGCAGATGGGCGGCATCAACGTATCGGCGTCGTACCTCCCCGTCGTCCTGATGCGCGCCTTTAACTTCAGCGACAGGATGGCCCTGGTCCTCGCCGCGGTGGCCTCGATGACCATGGTCCTCTGGGGTGCCCTGGGTGCTCTGCTCATCGACAGATATGGCCGGGTCAAGCTCATGTTGATCGGGGCGGCCGGCATGGGCATCTGTTATGTCTTTGTCGCGGCCGGTCTCAGCCAGAACACCAAGGGCTGGAATGCCGTGGCCGTCCTGTTCTTGTTCATGTACTACATCCCCTATGTAAGTCAAGCCGGGTGGGGTGCATATCTCTGCAGATTATTTCAGCCGCTGACATTCCCCTCTCAGGGCCTGATGTTCGTGTCCATTCCGTACATCTACCCCAGCGAAATCAATTCTCAGGTGATGAGAAACACGGGCACCGCCATCGCCATGGTGGTGAACTGGCTCTTTGTCTACATTATCGTCCTGATCACCCCGGACAGTAAGCACACCTCCATTTCCCCCGTCTCTGCGAAATTTGCGAGATGAAGATGGATCCCCAAGCTAAAATTCCTCCCACAAAAACAGGTCTCGCCAACATCGGCTGGCGCTTCTTCATCATCTTCGCCGTCCTCAACGTCTCCTTTGTCCCCTTCATCTGGTACTTTTACATCGAGACCGCCAAGCTCAGCCTCGAGGAGATCGACCGCATGTTCGAGATCTACTACGACTCGGGCAAGAAGATCACCTTTGCCGAAGCCGCGCTCCGGGCCAAAGAAGAGTCGGCCGAGATTGTGCGCCAGGTCGCCGAGAGGACCAACAAGCCCGAAGGGGTCGAGTTCGTACAGGTCGAGAAGACGATGGCATAGTTTCAGACATTACAAGGGCCCGCGAACTTCGGTCGGACAGTCTTACCTACTATGTAAGAGTGCTATGCTACATTGTGATTGGATAAGATAGTTATCAGTGGGAAAATGGGACATCCCCGATTGCTAGTCCATCATTGATCAGTAGGTATGTCATTATGCTCGACATAATATGAAGCATACACTGTCTGCTGCCCACTGCCCGCTGCCAGCCAGCACCGTTAGACACGCGTACTACCACAAGAATAATGGCGAACTTGGGGGCGACGAAGACGAACGTTCAAACACTGCAAACCACCCATTTCACTTTGAAGAATGAACATTGATTCCTGCATGACCTTCTACATCCTGTATCTACATCCTGTAGGTCGTTGATTACTAAGTCCTCATTTTCCCCCTTGGTGCCGCTCGCCGTGTGGTCGTGAATAACATGTCCTCGACACTATAGAAATTCCTGCATATCCTGCTTTCAAAGAGCTGCAAGGTGCCCGTCCCTTGCGTCCTGTCCCTGTCACATTAACGATTTCGCTGCTCGTCGAAAGTAGAGACCAATCTCCCCTCCAATCCCCGCGAACTTGTACAGCGGAACAGGAATGCAAACATTCATATGGCCAGCGAAGCGAGTCGCGCTTCGACTTCACTCATCCCGACCGCGCTGGACAGGCCCGTCAAGACCCCGAAGGCTTTGCATGAGCCGCCGATCCAAAGCTCGTACCGGATGTTCTTGCCCAGAATCTTGATGCGTGCTTCGTATCGAAGGAGGTAATAAAAGTTCTTGTCGCGCTTGTTCCAGAAGCGTTTCTCTCCGCGGACTCTTTCCACAGCCAGTTGTTTCAGCTCGCGTGCCGGGATGACGAATTCAATCTCTCCTTGCGAACGGCACCCTGACAATAATGAATGGATCAGTCCCTCTGGCATCTCATCTGAATGGATCGGGTCGGGCGGGGAACAAGCATATACCAATATTCTTGTCATGCCCGTAGTGAAAATGATCTTCCAGAACATTGTCTGATTTGTTTTCGACAAATTCGATGCGGATCAAAAGGTCCTGCTTCAGGTGTCGGAAGGTACGATCTAGGACAAAGGCCTTCTCAGGGAATGTCTGGCCCTGTGCTGGTATTCTCTGTCCCTGTGCAGATCCGGTTAGTTGCTGTTGCGATCATGCGCATTTTTTCATAGACTGTACCTACCCGATGGACAATGTAGGTGACGCAATCGCAAGCGTATAATCCGCCGTCGTCGGCATCAAATTCCTGAACGGCATTCTCGGGCTTATGACCTTCAAACTTGTCAGGTTCGCACACCTCTTGGGTGACAAACCCATAGCTGGCTTGCATGATCTCGTCTGGACCAGATACTTGGTTGAAGTAACGTAAACATCCGCCTCTGGAGATTGCATCTTGGCTGCATGGTGGTTTTGGATGAGCGAGCCATTCGCACGAGTGTCTCATTTTTCGCGTACCTTGTATGTTCTCTCATAACACGACAATCTTTATCGTTGATATTTTCTCGCAGGAAGCTCAGTAACCAGTTGGACAAAGAAAAGCCTCCGATGAGAACGACGTGCTATGATGATTTGAGTAACGAGACAGCCACGCGGGAAGGTTTGACCTACAGTGCAGGGTGTTTTGTTTTTCGCAGCGGCTTGCATCTGGCCTTGAATCAACCCCAAGATCTGGTTGAAAAGAGGAAGGTAGATTCCGTCGATAAATTCCCTGTCACAAGGTAGTGAGAAGGCTAGTAATCCAATCCTTCAACAACGAAACTAACCTATTGGCGTAGAAGGAGTTACTGGCCGAGTCCGGGTTGTCTTCCAGTTTTGGCAGAAACGGGACAGTGATGTAGTCGCCTGTTGAATCGCTCCGGACATCCTTCTTTACTGTGTCGAAGTCGTGGTTCGCCGCGCTCAAAATGTCATCGATGGTCCAGCCTTCGGGAAGATAATCCCTTGTGTTTCGATAGCGGGGGTCGGCTTCGATTGTGGTCTTCAATGCGCTGACAAGAGCCTTATTCAAGTGGCTAGAGCCGCAAACGGCGCCTGTAAGACATGCCTGATTAGCCCGCGTGGATCATGACTTTGGACGGAGCAGCAGCCTACCATCGCCAGGGACCACAGGGTCAAAGCGGAAAGGATACACATGTGTAACCTTGTAGACCATCAAATCCTACGTTATGTTAGTGTGAAACAAGATGCATGGGGGAACATTAGATTGGCCATGCTGTACCGAAGTTCCTCCTCCAAGGTCGGCGGTCATGAATACATCGCCCAGCTACAAGCATTGGTCAACCACCCACGTCCTCTGTACAGGGGTCAGGCTTGTCGTGTATATCATGAAACTCACGTTCAACATGACATCCGAGGCTCTGTCACAGAAGTACGTCGCCGCAGCATCTGCTTCGGACACCAGATAAACTTCGGAGTCGTGGCCAAAGGAGAGGTCTTTGGCAGCAGTCTCCATGGCATGTGCCATGACGGAGCAGGCACGGGCGTTCCATACGTTGGGCACTGTGAGTACCAGCTGAACGGTGCAATCATCGCAGTATCTATTGTTGAGTTGCAGCTCAGACTTGGTATGTCCGAGCAGAAAGGTCAAGTAATCGGTAATGGCATCGCCGATAGTGAGGCCCAGGCTGTCCAGCTGACTCGACACTCTTTGTGCCTCGTGCAGTCTCTGTTCGTCCTTGGAGTCGTCGAGCACTAATTTGAACCATTGCAGCAGGATTCCCTGGCGGTGCATGTTGCTGTCCCATTTTTTCCAGGCGTCATATCCGTAGAATGTTTGACCTTCGCTATACAGTATCTCGGTCGGTGTTTCAAATATTTCTCCCATTTTAGACGCGGATGCTCCAGGATAGTTTTTGATGGAAAACAATTTTGGCTGCTTGTCTGCAACATCTTTGAGCTTGTCGCCAAAGGGCCGCTGATGGCATGTCACCGACGAGTATGTGGTTCCAAAGTCGACCGCCACCACAAAATGGTAGTGCGTGGTCATGATCGGGAGGAAGAGCCTTTCGAAAGTGAACAAGGATAGTTGAGTGATTGAATCGGCATCTGCTGCTGCTGCTGCTGCTGCGAATTAATAGGCTGACAGATACGCAGGCCAACGTTTGAGCAGAAGGAAGAGTAGAAAGGACGTCGCGGGCGGGCAATCTGAGTGTATCTTATATTTTTCTTCTCACAGCCTCACACAGCACATCACAGGCGGGGGGTACTTGATCCCTGGCCACTGCCAGCACATTGCAGGTACAGAAATAGTATAGCGCCATGCAGCTTGGGGATGGCTGCCTGCTCAGCCTGATCAAGTTGAACGGGTGAGAGAGATATCGAGTCAGGACATCGCGAGCTCTCTCACCTAGACCTGCCCGCCTGCAAAAGATATCATCGCCCTTGTTGAGGGAGGTGCGCGAGAAATGACAGAGAGTGTCTTCAGCGAAGCGTCGACCCGCTCGGTCTGGCCGCGTGAGGTGATGGTCTTCATGCTCGCGTTTATTAGTACCCATGAGAAGCTGTTTGAATCAGACAGCACACGAGCTGCTGGTTTCGCAAAATTGGCTGAACGGCTCACGACCCTCCATCCCAACAGTCTGTCCTACACGCCCAAGAAAGTGAAGGCGAAGCTCGTCGAGATTCACAAGTGGTGCGGGGGTAAAGCGCCCATCGAAGAGCTTTACCATTATGGCGTCCATCAAGCCACTCTGCCTGATTTGGAGTTGTGGCAATACGCCACATACGACGAAATTCGGCATCAAATTGACATCTTCCGCTTGTGAGTATTCCGCTGGCATATGCGCCGACAACTCGTGTCTTGTCTTTACTCACACCCTTGTATACGAGCAGGGAGCAAGGACTGTTCGACCCTTCCTCAACCATAACTCAGCCTTTCGCAAGCAAGAGCAAATATGAGACACGTCAACAAAACCCGTCTACCAAAGACAAAATTCGGTGTATCTGCCCGTTCGACACTGAAGATGGCCAACGATCGGTTTGCTGTGAGCGATGTGAGACGTGGCAGCACGTCTTCTGCTACTACGAACCCCCCGAAAACCACTTCTGCGACAAGTGTGCCAATGATCTGGAAGACAATCGGGCGGAAGCTTCCATGCAGAGCGTCACCAAAGAAATAGGGCTGCTGTCTGTCGGTCCCGACAATGAGGAGGACGAACAGGTATGGCAGATCTAATCCCTGGTTTCACATATACATATTTCACTGTTGTCTTGGGACTGACTTGTATCCTAGAGCCGAGACGACCTGCTGAAGAAGGTCGGAGAGCTACAGCATTTGACGCGTCAACTCACTGCCGAAAACCAAAGTTGTCAACGCCAGATCAGATCATACAAGCTTGCCCTCCAGAACGAGAGGCAGCTCAGTACCTTTACCACTTTTCGGAACTTTGACGCGATAGAAATCGAGCAGAGCTTGCTTCCAACCCCGGAGATTGGAAAGACAGTCCAAAAGATCAATAACCTGATCCGCGGGTATTTATCATCACAACGACTTCGCGATAAAGAGCTCCCCTTGATCTCACTGGTCAAAGGACGCGCAACATCGGAGGAACTCTCCAGCACTTGGAGCTCATATCTGGGAAAGCAGCCATCCTCCACCAAGAAGAATGCAACGAGGCATCTGAAGAACACCACTGCGTCATCACACGCCGTTCTGAAGACGCTCGTCTGGACAGCCATCCGTGAATGGATCTTCAAGTCGGATGTCTTTTCCCTCGAGGAGTTCGCAGGGCCCTTGTTGCCTCAGTTGTCCCAGTGCGTCTTGAGTCGTGGTACGTCTTGGTCTCTTCTTAAAAACTACAGCGTCAAGTGCATAAAATCCTAATCTGACACCAGACGGGCCGGAAGCCCTACGGAATCTCTACCTCGCCTCTTGGTTGGCACTATTGCAGATGGAGAATTCGTGGTTCCAGGATCTCTTGAAGGCCAGAGCCGACGAGCTGGGACAGCGGCTGTTGGTCACCGTTGGCTCACTGGCACAGATTTGTAACGCCGATGCTCAAAGTCAATCCGATAGCATCAAACAGGATCTCGACAACGACGAAGACCACAACCGCTTCCAAGAGATAGCGATGACGGCCCTGGTCTTAAAATCTCGGCTGCCCTTTAAAACTTCCTTGGTCGAATTGTATCTCCCAGCCCCGGGCGACTTCTTTGCCGAGTGCCACGATACACCTCTGCCGCCGACAGGTCGTCCTGAAAAAGGGAAGGTTCTCGTCGCTATTAGTCCCGCAATCATCTTGTACTCTCTGGGCGCGAACGACAAAGAACAAACTCCAAGCTCGGTGCTGGACTGCATGGTGGTCAATGGGGACATGGATCGAGAACAAGGAACCGTTGTCTGTCCGGCTTCCGTCCTATACGAGAAAGAGTGAAGTGTTTTGGGGGAAATTCCAGACGTTCGACAGTGCTTTCAGATAGGCATATTCGCCAGATACTATAACATGTTTTGTCTTGCGTGTAGCTGGCCATGGAAAGGTCCGGTTTGACTGGACTCCCCCCCGGAAGGAGAGATCCGAAGTAGAAACGGTGGGATGCTAGCCTTGACTCGATTTAGGAACAGAAGTAGCTGCTCGCTGATCGGGGGTCTCCGTGGGTGGCCCACCATGCACTCACATGACCTCTAGGACGGGCAAGGAGGGGCATACCTAGGTAGCCCTTGTCATTACCTCGTATATCTCGTCCCAGGGTGGGCCTCTGGCGAATCGACCAACCTTCCACTGACAGGCCGAGCCTCTTTGATGCTTTGCCACATGCCAGATTAGAGCGGCCTTCGCGAGCGTACCCGAACGCAAAAAATAAGAGATCAAGTACGGTTCGAGGTAGGTATATGCATGTATATATGTATCGAAGATGCAAATCTACACAAGTCGGTCTAGCGCACCGAGTACCACCGAACAGGGACTTCAAACCCTTAAAGTATGTATCGGAATTGTGGATTCTGTAACAACCGAGACATCAATGGTCAGCACTTTCGTTCGAAAAATCTGTCCGGCAGGGAGGAAAACGAGGGGAGAGATGAACAAAGGAGAGAGGAGTTTGTCAGAAAGCTCGCTCCGCCGAACCGCACGTACCTTCTTGTCAGTCAAATCATCCTCGTAGGCATGCTCAAAGGCCTCCATTGTTCCCGCTTTATCCCGCTTCTTGTTCTCCCAGACACAGACCAAGCGATACACAATGGCCAGGACGGCAGAGACCGCCGAAGTGACGACAACGGCAATAAAGCCTGGCGCATAGACGGGAGCATCCTCGGGCTTGAAGAGGAGGGGCCCCACGAAATTGCCTGGGATCTCCGAGTTAGAACGCAGTTGTCCCATTGTAACAAAGGGCCCGTGCTAAGCACAGTCATGATCTCGAGACAAAGGCAAGGGGAAAAGAACATACCCAGACAATAACCCACAAAAATGCCCGAACTTGCCAGACTCCTCTTTGTGTAGCCGGCGGTGTTGGCAATCTGCATACCCATCAACACCGCATAGCCACCTCCAAAGCTCGCCAGGGTGTATGCTCCGAATAGCAATCCACCAGTGGCATCTCTCGGCAACAACCAAAGTAGGAGACTGGCCATGATGGTGCCCAGCTCGCAAACAACCACCAGGTAAGCCCTCGTATTTGGGAACTTGTACGCAATATACGGGGCCACCCATTCTATTGTTCCGATAATCACACCAGCGGGCATGATCAACAGCAACGAATTGAGCGTGTTGAAGCCAAAACTGGCAATGATGATCGCGGTGAAGGTGGAGACGGGTCCATTCGCAATCATGATGAGGAATGCCATTGAGAAGACGATCCAGAATTTCACGTCGAGTAGTAGTTCCCAGAGCTGTTCAACTTTGAAATGTGTGTTGCGGACGCCAGCGTTATTGACACGTAAGCGAGCCACGGCAATGTATCGTTCGCGCTCGTTGAAGCACTTGGCCCGGATAGGGTCGGGTGGCATGAAGAAATAGATGACAACGGACCAGAGAATGGTGAGGGCTCCGGCGACGAGGTACATATAACGCCATGGGGAGAGAGCGCCGCGAATGTGACCGAGGCCGTAATTGATCAGTGGGGAGACGATGGAGACGTAACCGGTGCAGCAATACCAGGCACTTGAAGGGAACCAGGCGTCAGCAACAAACATCGACGAGCAATACGTTCATGAGGACTTGGACCTACCCCATCCGCAGCGCCTGCTCATCCTTCTTGTAGAACTGTCCAACAACCAACATGAACATCGGACTGATTCCGGACTCCAAGAAGCCCAAGAAAAATCGCTGGGCGTAGAGGCCTTGCCAATTGTGGCAAGCCGCAGTGCACATCAAGCAAATTCCCCAGACGCACACGATCAAAGAAGCGACCCGTTCGATGGGATAACGCTGTGCCATGACGATGGCTGGGTATGCGCCCACAATGAAGCCCAGATAGAAGATTGCGGCAGAGAACGAATAGCGGTTACCGACTTCGAGGTTGAGATCAGTGCGGATCCCGAACAGTGCCTATGGACATCAGATTAAGTCTCGACGACATAAGGTGCAAGGGATATTTCAGTCGTTCCACGTACCGCTTGCGCGAGCATGGCCTTGTCATAATATTGTAAGCCGTAGGTAGCGCAGAGGATTGGAAGCAACCGTCGATCGATCTTCCGTTGGACTTTCTTTTCCTCCTTCGCATCCCACGTTTCTTCGCCGCTGTAATTGGCAAGCACTTTCATAGCCTCGTCGTTATGAATCGTGTCGACAGTGATGGTCTTTTTAAGCTCAGCAACTGCATCGTCGTGATTCTTGGGCGTTGTCTCAGCCTGTATGGCTTCTGGTTTCTCTGTATCGGCCATGGCGACTCAATGGACCTGGCGAAAAGTTGTCAACTCTTGTGGGAAAGACGTGAGGGTTTTCCTATGTATCAGGAGAGTTCACTACAGGGGACACGCGAAGAATTCAACGAGGCGAATGTGAAAAACTGCAGATCGGGAGTTGGCCGAACCAGACATATAAAGCCTTCGTCCTGCGGGATATCGCTTCGGTTCTCGTGTTCTTCGGCTACTCCTCATATTCGCCAAGTATCGAAAACGTCTATATTCCGAGGATATCTTGATCAAGTCTCGAGTATTATGCGGGGGGTGTTGCTGGGGTTTTGGTGGACTGAATATCTGACAGCGAATGTCAACGAGAAGCCAAGGCTGGGCTTTATCCATTTTTGTCGATCAGTAACTAAGCCTGGTTGCTTGGGTGCGGAGTCCCAGGACTAAGACTTCTCTTACATCACGAGCCGGATTCTTTGACCTCTCTGGTGCTTGTCGCCCCATGATTGTTGCCTTGGTCCGCGGCATGGGCCGCGGGGGCGTGGGGAAATTGGGGAGAGTTGGCGACTCGTAGGCCGACCGAAGTAGCCAGAGAGCTCTGGGCGAGCGCAACGACTGGAGAGCGCGGCCAAAAGCAAAAGTACGTACAAGTAGTACAAGTAGTACCTGTAGTAGACTTTCCGCGCGTGCATGCAGCCGACACTGCTGGATTGGTCCTGACAGCCATATAACCTCGGGGATCGCGATAACAACCCTAGTCGAGGGCCTGGGCTAGGGATCTCATTGCCCTCTTGTCGCCGAGCACTTTACCGACTTGTTGACCTTAATAATCTCGTATTGGTAGTGTGTGTGGCTTTTAGAGAAGCATCTTTGAAGCTCATCACCCTAGTTTCTTGGTGCTGAACCAAGTTGTTGACAGCCAAGAAAGACGCTTGCGTCGCCGAGACCGTGTGCCACTTAAACCACTGCCTGTTTTAGGCAACTGGTCGGCTTATGATTTTTTCCGGAGAGCTTGGAGGGAGAGGTGATTGTGGCCGATCGCGTTGGCGTGGATCGTGGCCCAAAGGCGGATAGCCGAGTCAGAGCCAGAGGTGTTCAGGAGTCATTGTAGACTCCCCAGTGCAGGATTCCAAAGTCTCGCAGGAATTGGAGCATCGTAAGGGCTGGCTTTTGCGATCTGGCAAGCGACCAAGGGTGATACAGATGATGTTGAAAGAAGCTCAACCTAGGAGGGAGTTCTTCACCTTAAGTATTAGACATGACATGCTGAAAAGAATGCCGATCACCTTCAAATGATGGTGGATTTTTGATTAGAAGTGTCTATGGGACATTTTGTGCCTCGGGAAGGAGAAAACGCACCCGTGATCAGAACCAGGCTTGGCAAATGACCCCCAAAGAGACACGCGAGGCTGATTCCCCCTGATGAAACCCCTGAGTGCGCATTATCATTTCAACTGTTGCCCCCTTCAATCATTCACTGACCAAAGCATCAATTCTCTGTAACACCCTGTCCACTCCTTCATCATCTAGAATCTTACCCTACCCGGTTGTTCACGTCGAGATCATGTCATTGTCGGGTTGCGATATCGTCTCCCGCGATGCTCTCTGCTATCTACTTGCGAGGCGCTTTCACTCGGCGTGATGGAGCAATTACTCTCCGTTGGAGATGTGCTCATTGCACGGGGCTTGGTACAAACAGTAGCAACGACACCTAGCGGTCGCATTATCGGGACGGGCCTTGTGAAGTTCTGGGTCTCGAGAGGGCAAACTAGACCGTCGCTCTCGGCAGAGAGGTCGCTTTCCGTGCTGTCTTCCACACTGCTTGTCGCGTTCGCGTCAACATACCTACCGTCAGTGTCAGTGCTGCGTTCGTACCGCGCTATGGGCTCGATCGGCCAGACTCCCTTCTCTATCTGCACAAGAACTATTCTCACTGCGCGCTCCACTCCGTAATACCCTTGGTTATTCACGGCGGGCGACAGATGTTCCTTGAGAGATGTGACAAGTTCGTCCCAAGAGTATCCTCGGGCATTTGGGCTTCTGACGACGCCTAGTTTTCGAACTTGTAGATACTGCAATGCATCAGCGAGCACGATGTGCATGGTTAGCTCTTCTGGGTGCTGGGAATCTTCCTCGCGGTCCATGTCAGAGTGTGGCTGGATTTCGCCCTCATCGAGGTCCATCGCCGACCCTTCGTTGTCCCTCGCCTTAGCGTTGAAGACCACATCTTGATCAATCAATCTGAATAGGCTAAGCAGAACGCGCGAGAGGGCAAGACGCTGCTCGTACGAAGGTCCGGTTTGTTCTATTGCGGCCATCGATGAGGCCATGGTTGGGAGTTGAAAGCACTCTGAGAGAAGTCGGTATGGGAATTCGACGTCTTTGATTGATCGAGCTGTTTCTGCATGGTAAAGAGAACTTGAGCTTGCATGATTCTCTTTCAAGTTAAATACCCGTCGGGGTTCGTTTCTCCCGCACATGTCAAGGCACAAACAGTGCAGCCTTCACACAAAGAATAGAACCAGCTCTTTGCAGCTTGTAACCAAGACTCAAGTGAAGCCTAGAAAACAAAGAAATGGGAATATATGCAGAGTGCCAGAGCATCTCAGATAAAGAAGCTTGAAAGAGAGCTTTATCGCTTGACTTTGTTTCGTAGTGTCCTATTCACCAAGGACTCTCGCCGAGTCGATCAAAGCAGGTTAGTGATTAGAAACACCACGTTGAACAGGCGGTGAAGTGAAGGGCGTACAAGTCCGGTGTTTATCAGTTGACATGCCATTGCAGCTGTGTATAGAGGTGGCTTGGTGCAAAACCTCTCAATCGTATTGGACGCTCTCCCGAAAAGATCAACAAGTTTCTAGTTTCTCTATGGTGTGATAATGTTACATCTAATCCAACAATCCTGTCTATTCTAGTCGGCGAACTCGGCGTCGACCTCCTCATAATAATCGAAGAAACCTTTGTACAGTTGAACTCCGAGACCCGGGTCGAGCGACCCAGTGGTAGCTCTGATTGAATGCATTGATAACTGAGGGATGCCGCAGTCGATTGCACGACAGCCTAACCTTGAGCTTCAAGCACCCCACAGTTAGTATCCATAATCCTAGACTGGGTTCGGGAGGGACATACCTAGTCATGGGTCCAATAGTGCCTCCGCTCCGACTGTCATTGCGAATTTGAAACACTTGCAAGGTGCTACCACATTTCTCGGCAATTCGAGACAACAAAGCAGTCGAGGCGCTGTCGGTTGTCATATGTCCATTGGGGTCCGCAGAGACAGCAACTCCAACGTTCAAGCGCGGGGAGTGGTTCTCCAGATACGCGTAAAGGAAGTTGGGATTGACTGCGTGAATCACGTCGGAAGATACCAGGAACGAATTGGCCAATGTCTGATTGATGAGGTTGGGGCCACAGTTGTAGTCGTTCAAGGCCTCGCAGATCCTCGAGATGGTGCTGGGCATAAAATTCGATCTTGCACCTTGCCTTAAGAAGCTTCCCACTTCTTCGTCGTCGAAGCACCCAACCATCTTGATGATACCAGGCGACGCGTCGTCGGGGGACGCCAGAAGCCCTTCAATGGCAGCAAAGCAGCAAAGCTTGTCGTCGATTCTGCCTGCAAAGATAAACTCCTTATCCAAGCCACCGAGCTGGGCGGGCTGGACGTCAAAAAGCTCGAGTTCCCAATTGACAATGGAAGTGTAGTCTGTGATACCCATTTTCCCTGCAATCGCTCGCACGAGACGCTCTGGTTGTCTTGCGACAAAAGTACCCGCAGGTAGCTTCAGGGAAGGCAGCTCCTTTCCCGAGAGATCCGAGTTGTCAAGTCCAATGATGGGAACCATATTTGTTTCTGGGTTGAACGGGCCCTGGGAAGCTGCCCCAAAATGGGGTGCGAGTGTTGGTATTCGTGCAATGGGCCAATCCAGCTTAACGAGTCTCTCTTCTATTGTCCCATCATCGGTCTTTACAAGAACCTTGCCGCCGATACCCAAATCTCTATCCCACCAAGTCATGTTCATCCCACCAGCATAGGGTGCGACACCAAGCTGAACATAGCCTGCTTTTGTCTGCAACTTGGGAATCGGCTTGACCTTTGCAGTGAGGGCATCGATATGGCCAGCGACGATGCCGACGCCGTTTCCAGGCTTGTAGTCTTTCCCAACGGCAAAGGCAATGAATGCACTGTTGTTCCGCTTCGTGTAATATTTTCCGCCGGGCTTAATCTTCCATTGTTCTCGTTCTGAGAGATATACGTAGCCAGCCTGGTTTAGCTTCTCGGCGAAATAGTCGACGGCATGAAAGATGGTGGGGTTCTCGGTCATGAAGTCTATGTACCGCTGAGTATATCTTTCTGGGGAGAATTTCTCTTTTTGAGGATTGAGAGGTAACGTGCAGGGTGGGTAGGCAGTATGCTGGAGAATTCGGTCGTAGCCTCGGGATACGCGAAGTGGCATATCTTCCTGAATGGACGAGAAGAAACCAGAGGACGTTTTGCGGACCATGGTGGGATATGGCTCAGGTGGAATTATGAGACGAGAATGAAGCAGAGTGAGGCGGATTGTACTGTCGGGGTGGTTTAATGGGACAGTTGATACACTGACAGATTTGGAAAAAGCGGCCAAGTTGCGATCAACAGGACCGGACCTGATGGTGTCATGCGAGGCGGCGTAGCTGCGTAGCTCTTGTAGGGCAAGGGGCGATCAGCTGCACGGCAACGCTGGACAACCCTATCGGAAACACCCCGGCGCAGATAAAGTCACTGGGCTTGGCGTGAACACCCGAGGGTCACGAGGTACTTCTTTTGTATGAGTAAGCAGGGCTCGCCAAGGCCACCTCTGCCCATCAGCTTCCTCACTGTTTGGGCATGACTGCAAGCTCCTATACATAGACTGGCTCACGAATGCCTGCCTAGGTAGGAATATTGTTACCTGCCGCCCAAAGTAACTGCTCACCTTGAGTCAGAGACCGGATAAGCCCAAGAGCCCAAGGTATCCGACGGTGCTTTGGCAGTGTGTTTGGGGAAGAAACCTCAGCACCCATTCAAGAGGCGATTCAAGCGGAGAGGGAGGGCTTGACATCTTGAGTACTGCCGTTCGCCAGGACTGCCAGCGATGGGGACCATTCTTATCTAGACCTGGGTAGGCGGTAGCTTTTCTCAGCTGACTGCCGCCTCAGCCGTCAATTCCATTGTTACGCTCGAGGAATGTGCCCACTGCACTCTCTCTGTCTTTTCGCTTCATGAGAATGACCAGCGTAATACCGTTTCATGCTTCTGTAGTGGAGCAAGCTACATCGTTTGGGTACTTATCCTGCACAACGATGGAGATGCAGTGAAGCGCACTCAAGAACAATCGCGCCGGCAAATTGATGAGATCGCTGGCTCGTGTCTGACCACAAGCATGGACGAGCAGAAGTGAACAGCGATATTTCAGAAGCTTTGAAGCGACTCAGCATTGGGGAGGTATACCCAGAGTCCGACGAGTATCTCCAGCCCTGGCAACTCCTCGACGTGAGGTAAAAGGAGATTTTGTTTGCTCTCGACTCGGCTTTATGCGTGGAGCCATGAGTGATAAATACGGTGGTATTGAATTGATAGACTTGTCCGCCTACATCCATTTTACCATCAAATTCTACAGTGAGATGGTCAGATTATCAATGTTCACGAGACTAACTAGGGCATCGCTCGGAGATGGACTCGATAGCTTTCAGGCTCTGTCTTGGTCACATCAGTACCAAGAGGTGACAGATTCACAGGACGCACACGACGTCTTCGAACCAGTCGACCCTGCTGTTGCCATCGTGCAAGTTGTGCAAGACGACCTGCCACTTTTGATCAATTCTACAAGGTCAACCAGCGCCCGAATGAATAGTCACACTGCAAGTGAATTCACGCCTCGATGACGTGGCTAAACAGCATGTGTAACCCATCCAGTCGTCCGTCCGGAAGGATTATTGCGAGGAGACAAGGTCCTCAATCCACGAGATGTGACCCTAGTGAGCTGCCGGCGGATACGAGAGAACTCGTATTGTCGAATGGGCTAGTGCCCCCGCGAACGGAATCGATAGCAATAATTAATGGCAATAATAATGAAAGGGTCTGTGTATCATGGCGTGAGCGCCGTGTCCCTTGCGGCTACTTGCGGGGGAAAGTGTGGGCATTGAGAGGTTCACACCGGCAAATTCCTAGGGGAACGACTCGTAGATTCCCCGAGGCTATAGGTACGAGGTACATAGGTCGGTATTCAACCCCCCCTTCCTCCCCCCAAACAATGTGGAGGTGGATTATTACCCCGGCATGGCAAATCTTGGCCTGTTTCTCAGATTCGCGGGGGGTCTCCCTCACCCCCGCCAAAACCGTACCAGAGTCTTTGTTGGGTCTTCGTTCTTCCTCTTCCTGCCTGAGTATGTGCGTTTGGAGCGAGGGAAAATGAGGCCAAACGGATCCCCACAGGATCTCTTGCCCAGCAGAAGTTGTTGCTTTACGTATGTATGTGTGGCTGGAGGATAGGGACAAGATTGTGGCACGAGCAGCCCCCGATAAGAATGACTCGCTATTGAGCCAACGAGGCCGGGGAACTTATTCATGTGGTATTTTTTTTTTTTGCTGTGGAAATAGAGTTCAAACACGCACAAAGAATTGGGTCTAGCCCCGCATTAGGGGTGATGATGTGTATTGGGAATGAAATGACAGTGGTTTCTTCAGAGCCTTGGGTTTCGGTAATGGCATCCGCGGATGTAACTTGTACTTGTAGGGATCCCAACTACTAGACACCTGATATTGGGTACTGTGGAGAGGAGGGTGTTTTCATCTCCCTGGCACTATACATGCCACTGTCTACACGTGTACATGCCCGGAGCGACTCGTGTTTGCACCAGGCCACGGCAAGCCAAAACACAAGCGACTAACCTTGGAATGTCGGTGGCTTACCGACAAGGACTCACTTGCCCCATCCTCCTTCGGTGTGATTCCCCGCGTCTGTCCGCGCCTGTTATCCCCTGCCATGCTCTTCATTGGGACCAAGTGAGTCTCTACCTGACTGACATTTCGTTCTTGTCTTCCGCGCCTTGGTAAATTTTGTCAATCTCGCCGGCTTTGCGGGTGACGGCGGCAAACTCGTCACCCAAGAGATACTCGGCCGCCCAATTCGCTGGAGCTGGTTCCGGCCGCTCGATGATCTCCTTGCCCACCACCTCGAGGCAGGCCCCATTCAGCGAGTCGTCACCCAGGATCTTGTAGACACAGTCCACGATCAGTGACGGGGGCGTGATGGCGTCTTGATTAGCCGTTGCGACGTAGCTAGCACTAATGATGGCGGTCGGCACCAACCCGGGGCAGATGCAGTTGACCGTGATTTTCTCGCCCAGGATCCTCATCTGTCTGCCTAAAGATCGTGTCATGCCAATAACCTTTTGTTGGCCCGATGGCAAGAAAACAAAAGTCAACCTCCGGATGTCCCTTTGAACCGAGAAATTCTATGCTTGTCTGCACTTACACCATGCTTTGAGGCCGAGTATGCGGGAAACATGTAATGCGCGTGAATCCCCGTGGAACTGGACGTCATAATTAATTTGCCCTTCCGGTCCGGGTTTTTCTTGAAGTAATGCAGAGCCAGGTACGAGGAGTAGAAGACACCGATCAGACAGACGTCGATGGCCAGCAGATCTGGAGCGGGAGGTGCCCCGTTCTCAGTTTCTTTGGCGTCGGCGAAGAATTGTGTACGGTCTCCCGTGCCCTACCAGACGCTGGTCAGTACCTATTTGCATGGACAAGGAGGGAAAAATCCAGCCCCTGATGCTTACCGCATTTGCCCAAACTACAGAGGCAAGTTAGCACATGTCCGAATTTGATAGATCAGAAAGCGTCGACTTACCAAAATCAATCCTCCCCCATTTCGACCAGGTCTGGAGAAATGCCTTGGCCTGGTCGTCATAATTCGCCACGTTTCCCTGGAGGAACAGAAGGTTGGGTCCGAGCCTTTCGGCGACTTGGGCGCCCGTGACAGCGTTGAAGTCGAAGACGGCCACTTTCCAGCCGTCGCTTATCAATCGTTCGACCGTCGCCAAGCCCATGCCAGATGCTGTACGAGGCTTATGTCAGACATGATCGTAGTTCAACCAGAAAGGGAAATCCCAATTCGGTTACCTCCGCCCGTAATGAAGGCGACATTGCCTTTGGAACTCATATTGTATCTAGACTTTGGAGCAATTTGGGTTGTATTCGGTGGCGTGGCTTTTCCGGGAAGGATAGTGTGTTGAGGGCTTGGGTCCAGACGGATAATGGTACCAGCCCTATAATAATACAAGTATGGTCCGAATTATTTATGTGCATTCTTGATCGGGTGGAGTCCTGGTACAGACCTGTCCGTTGGAGCGATAGAAAGTATGTATCCGAGCGCGGACCGAATCCCCGTGGTATTCGGTTTCTCCCCAGACCACAACGATCGAAAGGGGGCAATTCGGTAGTCCAGCCCAAGGCATTTCAAATGAATCCGCCCGTCCTCCAATGGGGGTTCTCCCTTCCTCCTCCTCGAACCCTCCCCCGGAATTTTGAGGACCCCGTCATGCCCATGGGACACCCCCAGGTTTCTGGCCCATCCCACCCATCTCCAGCGAGCCAAGAACTGATGTCCCTCAGAGTAACCGAAAGTCCAACACTCAGCTACACCCTATACACACACTTCAATCTTGGATGATTGGATACTGGTTTTCTTTATTGAATGAGCCCTCGGTTGCTCAGTCGCCTTCCTCGGGCTGACCTCCTCGGATATGTACCTGCTGAGAACCTATATGTTTCTTTGATATTCCTCCCTTTTTTTTTTGACTTCCCTTGAAGCGGATCGGTTGGTACCTCGTCACATCCACTTGAAACAAAAAACCAATACAAACTACATCCTTCTGTCCGCGCGTACCCATCTTCCTTAGCTTCTCACCAGGCGGGTCGAAGACCCCCCGGATACAGATATGTCTTTGACAGAAGAAGAACGCAACGCCATCAAGGCCAAGTACGCAGAGGAAAGACAAAAGCGAGTCCGTGCCGACGGCCGGTCCCAATTCCTTCGCGTCTTCGATTCGGACAAGTTCAAGAAGTTTGGCGCAGACCCGTGGGTTCGGAGCGAGCCTCATGACTTGAAGCTCACGCCGCCCCTGCACGATGGCCAGCACTCGAAATTTGTGATTTTGGGCACAGGCTTCGCCGGGATCCTGTACGGCAAGAACCTTCTCGAGTCCGGCGTCCCCCTCGAGGATATCATCTTGATCGACCGCGCCGCCGGCTTCGGAGGCACCTGGTATTGGAACAGATACCCAGGGCTCATGTGCGATGTCGAGAGCTACGTCTACCTACCGGAGTTAGAGACTACGGGATACGTGCCAAAACACAAGTATTCATACGGCACTGAGATCCGCCATTACGCCAATCTCCTTGCGTCACGATATAACCTCGCGTCGAGAGCCTCGTTCGAAACGGAAGTGGAAGCTGCCACCTGGGACGAAGTGGGCAAGGAGTGGATTTTCAAAGTGGTGACCAAGGATGATAAGGGGAACCCAACTCCCATCACCATCCGCGGAGATTACTTCCTCCTCGCGCCCGGACTCCTCGTCCGACCTAAGCTACCTGCGATCCCTGGGATCGAAGACTATACTGGCCATATCTTTCACACATGCCGATGGGATTATGAATATACGGGTGGCAATTCCGCGGACTGGCAGATGACCAACCTCAAGGATAAGAAAGTCGCCATCATTGGCACTGGTGCTTCGGCTATCCAGGCCGTCCCTGAGCTTGGAAAATGGGCAGGCCAGCTCTATGTCGTTCAACGAACTCCCGCCGGGGTTGATATTCGTGGCCAGCACCCAACAAATCCAGAGACGGTGGAAAAAGAGATGAAATCCCCCAACTGGCAAACTGAAAGGATCCGGAACTTTCTGTATAACATGTCTGACCCTCTGGAGGAAGACACCCCCGACCTGGTTAAAGATCAGTGGACGGCCTTCCACAGCTCTGCGGCGCTCTGCGGAGGGCCTCGAGCGAAAGATTTGACAAAGGAGAAGCTCGAAGAATTCGTGCGATACTACGAAGACATGGACATGAAGCGGACTAAACGCATTCGAGAACGCGTCGACGAGGTCGTCAAAGACCCCGAGACGGCGAACAGCCTCAAGGCGTGGTACGCTAGCTGGTGCAAGCGTCCCTGCTTTCATGACGACTACCTACCTACCTTCAACCGTCCTAACGTCCGCCTCGTGGACACCCATGGCGCTGGCGTAACACGACTAACCAACAAAGGGTTTGTCGTGGGCGAGGAGGAATTCGAGGTCGACTTGATCATCTTTAGCACAGGGTTTGAGTTCGAGGCATCGAATTCGCCCGCCTCGCAGGCCGCGATCCCCATTACCGGGCGTAATGGGCTTTCCTTGGACGAGAAGTGGAACCGAGGCGTCGCGACGTTGCACGGCGTCATGAGCAGAGACTTCCCGAACCTATTCTGGCTTGGCCTAGTTCAGACCATGTCGTCGCAAAACTACATGGTCAATTTGTCCACGCTGAGCAAACACGCCGTCCAGATCATCACGGACGCGAGAAAGAAGGCCAAGGCCGCGGGCGAAGTGAAGGTGGTTGTTGAGCCCACAGACGCCGCCGAGGAGGCTTGGAGCGATCGTGTCTCCAAGGGCGCGCTCGCCGGCGTGCTGGCCGCCGGCTGCACCCCGAGCTACTACAACCAGGAGGGCGAGTTGCAACAGATTGTCTCGGGCGAGGAACAAGCGAAGATGGCCAGGAAGGCGACGTGGATGGCCGGCCCGCTGGACTTTCTCGACTTTCTGGATTCGTGGCACCAGAAGGGTGACCTTGGGGAACTTGAGATCGCCGCCTACTGATCACAGTTCTCAGTGGACTCAAAACCGGTCATGAGCACATTATTCGAGCCTTTTTTTGAGTTTTTTGTGGTCCCTCCCTAGTATGAAATAATGCGACCCCAAATGAAACGAATCTTTTGAAATTTGACTGTCAAAGTCTCGCTACAAAGACCTATGTCGCGCATGGCACGATACTATTGAGTCTCCTGTACCCGTCGTACTCAATACTCGAGTTACACTCATACCCAGCTCAACCTTCCATAACCGAGGTTGGGTTGTTTTCAATATCCCAATAAACCGGGTTTCGTCTGTCTGGACCTGAAAACTGGGAGCATGCCCGTCGAGTTCCCTCGGATCTTTCTTTGATTCCTGGTACCAAAAAGGCTTCCTAGCCCAAAGTGGCGCAGGAAGAGACAGTACTGGTTCTCAGGTCATCAACTTCTCTATCGAAGACACGCAGCGTTCATTATCACCACTACCATATTACCTGACAGGAAGTCCCAGCTCGTTGGTAACCAAGCTCCAATAAATTGTAACGCCATAAAGAGTAGTGATAGCAGTGAAACATGATTTCTTATTTTTTTTTTTTTCTTTTTGCCCCCGCCTCGAAAGGACTAGGGTTCCATCTCTCCGGGTATCGAACCACAACACAATACTGAGACAAGCCCGACAGCGGGGGTCAGAACCGCCACCCTTCGATCCTCGGGCGGAATGTCATCATACTGTACGCAAACAAGAACCGATTGGAGGGGGAGTGTGTTTTCTGGGATTCTTATCAAGTAACCGATACCCGTGCCCGTACAGTCACCAATAGTGTAAAAAGTATTTTATTCTGGCTGGAAATCCGAACACGTCAGGGGTGTCTCGGGTCACGAAAGCGTACGCCAGATGGTGGCTCAGGAAGGGATAACGAGCAGACAACAAGGCTCAGAGCCCTGACAGTGATCTTCAGCAAAAGGTGGGAGGCCAGTTTCGGTAGCCTTTACCGAAACATACAGATTTCAGATATGAAGAGACCGGCCGAGAACCAGAGGGTCGAAGAGAGTCGTTTGGCGTAAACCATGCTCTGGCCGCGTCTAGCCGGTCTTGTGAGCTGTCGCAGACTCGTGAGCCATGTGGTTGTCCGAACCCATGTTCTGTGGATGCGAATGTTTCCTATTCGACGAGCCTGAGGATGCAATCCGACAGTCCGAACTGTGCCGGACCGACCGGGGGGTTGCATAAGGAGTTGAAATGTGGCTAGACCGTCCAACAACATGGCACAACGCTGCTCATCTTGCCCAGACGTGTCCAGAACGCCAAAGAGCTTAGCACACTCGGGTGGTTGTTATCCCAAGGATGCATAAGTTGACTGTCAATAAGCACTTTTTGTTGTGCCATCGTACAAGGACTTGCTCGAAGTTGTTTGGCTGTGGCGGTTTGACATATCTTGGGTATCGAGGAAGGCCGGATCATGTCCCTGGCTGTCTCGGTAATGGTATCTCACCTGTCCGACAGTCCGTTCTGCTCAATCCAAAGTCCCATCACAGTACAGTCCTCGCCAGAGATTGGCAGAACCACATTAAGAAAGGGCCGATCTGAAGGCGCCGTTACCAAGCATTCTTCGCCGCCAGTCCGCGACACTGCGCTGAAGTCACAAAGTTAGAGTATCTCGCGCAGAGAAAGCTTGAAGCCGCCACGTGTCCCATGGGACGTAGGGCCGTTTCCAGCTATTGCAAGCTCGCCAAAGGGAAAAAAGGGATATTTTTGCTTGAGAGGGAGGATTGTAAGTTGAAATGACGGGGAATTCGGTTGAAATGGGTTACACTGTTAAGAGACGACCAACGTGCACTAGTGACTCTAGAGTGGAAGAATAACCAATAGAAGGTGTCCCTATACACAATCAAGTGGGGAAATCTAAACTATATACGCAAAAGCCTCCACTTCCCCAAGTTCTTCTTCCTCTCACTGGAAAACTTGCGGGGGCTGGGCACTGCAACCCCCGGCATCCAAACCGAAACGCGGGGAGCTGTTCCGGGGGTCCAGAAGCGGGAATCTCGCATGGATAGTTCGATTTCGACCAAATGACCGGGTTCCCGGGGTAAAGGTATTGCTAGGGGAGGCGTATGCGAAACATAACAGGCCTTTACTCCCTTCGAAGGGTCGTCAAGATCACACTCCAACCTTCCCTCTCCATCAGTCGAATCTTGGTTCCACATCCCTGCTGAATACGTCCCAAGATGGATTCTACCGACGAAAAGAAGACCTCCGCAGAGCTCAGGCATTTCGAGGTCAAGCCCGAGCCCGTGGTTTCCAGTGGGACAGAAGTCACTGATGCAGAAAATGGAATCCCAGAGAAAATGAACTTCCGTGTCATGATGGCTCTTGTCGTAAGGAACTACCTGCTTGATTTCATTGGTGACGGTAGGCTGATCTGGAGTCGCCTAGGCTCTTGCTCTCAACTATGAAGCCAGTCTCTTGTCCTTCATCCTGCCAGCAGCGGTCCTGTTGACCATCAATAATGCAATTGGACCGTCGTCCGGCATCGGCTGGGCAGCCACGTCGTGGACATTGGTATCTGGTGCCCTCGTGGGGATGAACGGCCGCTTGTCCGACATTTTTGGCCGTCGAAAGATTCTCATCATCGGAAACGTGTTCGGTGTAGTTGGTAAGTTCCCAGGGGTGGCAACATGCTGCATTTGCTCGCATCACTTGCTAACATGTCTCCAAAGGAACCATCGTTGGCAGCAGAGCAAACCGAGTAGGACAATTGATCGCTGCCATGACTTTGTTGGTAGGAGAATCCCTCCGGACAACCTCAGATGACACAACAATGCTGATGACAGTATAGGGCGCCGCCGCGTCAGGCCAGCAACTCTCCTACTCGGCCGCATTCGACATCGTCCCAAGGAAGCATCGAGGAACAGCTCTGGCATTCATGAACCTGTTTTCGCTGCCGAGTTCAGCCTTCGGCGCCATCATTGGTACGTACAACCCCGGTGCTTATGACCTTTTCAAAGTGCATCTCCCTGACTGTTTTCTGCATTTCAGCTTTCACAATTGTCGAGAACTGCGGCTGGCGTTACACCTTCTACATCGGAATCCTAGCCAACGGGCTCTCCCTCGTCTTTACTGTCATCTTCTACCATCCGCCTGGATTCGTTGGACTCCACCCCGACGGCAAGACCATCAGACAGCAGTTGAGGGAGCTGGACTACGTCGGTCTCCTTCTCTTCACTGGTGGCCTGACGGTCCTGTTGGTCGGCATTGGCTTCGGAGGGAATCCTTATCCTTGGACGAGTGCGACCGTGCTCGCCCCCTTGATAATAGGAGGTACGTTTCTCGTGTCAAGCCTGGGGCTTTTCTTTCAGGCATTGTATTAATCTTGGTGACAGCCGTCACCCTCATCGTCGGCTTCCCATTGTGGCAAGTGTACGGACCCGGCACCGAGAAACTGTGTCCACCACATTTGATCAAGAGATGGAGACGGTTTACCCTGCCACTTATCATCAATTTTACTGCTGGGTTTACGGTATGTATCGTCGTTCAACTTCCCATGAATTTGTCAACTGACAGTGACACAGCTGTACTCTATGCAAGTCTACTGGCCGCAAAGTAAGTGCAAATATTGATCTCGGTCAGCACACACAAAACACTAACGATTGAGCAGTGGTTCAATTTTTGTTCACGACCGAACAACCACGAGTCGGCTGGTTGAGTTTCATCAACAACGGTGCGGGAGTGTGTAAGTTGCCTCCCTTTTTGCCTGCTTCGACACCGCTTTTCTCTGGGCTGACGGACTGACTCGGATGTGAAAAGTCGCCATCACTTGGTCTGGCGCCCTCTTTGGCCTTCTCAAGCACACCAGATTCCAGTACATCTTCGTGGTCTTTGCTCAAGCGGCTTTCACGGCCTCCATGGCATCCGTCACCCAATGGACTCTCGCCCGTGCCGTCGTTCTCTGCATCTTCACTGCCCAATTCACGTGCGCGGCCAACATCATCGGGTGTCTGTTCCTTCAGTTCGGTGCCGGTGACGAGAACTTGGGCGTCGCTGTCGGGTAAGTTTTGACATCTAGATATATATGGTCGGAACTGCGTTTTGTCCCTAACCTTTTGTCGTTCGCAGGTTGAGAAACTCCATTTCAGCCGCTGGTGGGGGTATCGCCCTTGCCATCTTTGGCAGCATCCTCAACAACAAAGTCAGTTCGAACATGGTGCCTACTCTCGCCGGCGCCGTAACCGAAGCTGGTCTTCCGGCCACTTCTATCGAGTCCTTTATCAGTAAGAAAAGCGTCCTTCCGCCCCAGCGTTCTCAAACACCATCCCAGGCACAATCAAAGCTAATATTTGTTTTCTTTTTCAACAGCGGCATTCCTCTCCGGAAAACCAGACCTTCTTATGGCAGTCCCCGGCGTCGATGCGGAGGTCCTCGGCGCAGCCACAATTGCATCGCGAGACGTATACGGCAGTGCCTTTAGGATGATCTTCCTGGTCACGTTGGCCTTTGGATGTGAGACTCTCCGAAATCCCGCTTTGGTCGTTAATCGAGTGAATGACTAACTTGTTCCGCAGCCGTTGCATGCATCGTCAGTCTCTTCGTCCCCAGCGTCGACAAGTTCTTGACCCTGTAAGTGATCCTCTCGTGAATCTCCTCTCAGAGAGACGACTTTTGTGTCTGGTATTTGTGTATATGCTAATAACTGTCCAACCACCAGCCAAACCGCCGTCCAACTCGACAAGCCACACGTCATCGCCCACGGCGAGGGTGAAGCCAAGGTCCTCAGAATCCACACCCCGGACAGCGATGAGGAGAGCCGCAAGGACGACAGCGCCGTCTAATTCAAATTCCCCGACCCCCCAGCTTTCTACACGACGGCACGACGAGACAAGGCAGAGATGGGAACTGTGAGGGGAAATGTAAATAGTGTGGCGGCGGCGGCGCCGGCGTCGGTCCCACCTCCTCCTAGTCCCCGGGTAAAAGTCTTCTTCTGCCTTGGTACTGCTAGTTCTAGTTCTAGTTCTACCAAAAAATTCCAACTTGGAGAGATCGATTGTACTGTAAATAAGCAAAGCGATCGAGCCTACATCTTCACTCCGGAGATGGAGATACTTTGACCTTTGTGCGGTTGGCAAATGTTAAGTCTTGTCGTTTAACATGTTGACCTGCCGAAGTGAGTGGTGGTGAGAAATACCTACCATACTCGTAGTATGATCCCATCATAGCCGCAGCCTCGTCACGTGTTTCCTCCCATCGACCCCTTTTTCCATGTACCAAGCACGGGATATCGACTTCCATCTACGGCGGATAGGTAGTGTCATCAGTCAACTCAACGCGTTTCAACAAGGCCCAGTAGAATATCCGCGGCTAATTGCATTGACGACCGTATACCGGAGTGGATCTCTCCTTGAACGGGGAGGACGACATAATACCACCCTCTCAACTCATGTACAAACAAGTATCTGGACTACCTCCTTCCCATCCCTGTGAGAACTTCCCAAGACCCCCGCGTATTGTGATACAATGGCACGCCAGCCAGTCACTCACTGGAGTGAGCCAGGCTACGACAGAGGTTGCGGGAAGATTTCCAACCCTTTGGCGGCAGTTACCCTAGGCACTTGCACTTGCACACGAAACTGATCAGGCCTTGCATAGGTTCTCTATTCCAAGCCGTCCGTTCCAAGCTGCGATCCGGTCCGCTCTGCATTATGCAACATTCAAGGTAACAATCGCTGTGTCATCAGGATCATGCCGCACCATTGAACAGAAACACCCATCTCCAGGGCGCTAAATATCATCAACATCCTCGTCATCAGCCCCGTCTGTCTTGACCTTCCCTGCTCTAGTCGAGTCCAAATTTCTCATTTCGTATTCATCGCGACCGGTTGACATCGCCACAGCATGTCTCGCCGTGGGATTCTCCTCCAAGAATTCTCGAAGACGCTTCTTGCCCTCTTCCAGAGCCTGTTGGGACGCCGCGTTCGCCATCTTAAACATCGGGCCCCAGAGATTCAAAGTGTAGGTGACGTAAGCGGCGATGGCGAGAATGATAAGGAACATGAAGTAAACGGGATTGCGAAGGACTGCGACTATGTTAGTATCACATCTTAGACCAATGATATCAAACTTACCGGCAACGATCTCGTTCCACCCTAGTGCCAGCAAGAGACCGTAGAAGTAAAGCGGTACTTGTGTCATGCCACCAATCGCACTACGTTTGGCTTCCACATACACCCCGTCAGCGGCCTTCTTGAACCGAACAGTCAAGTCTTGTCGCTTGGCTTCATTAAGAATCGTCGTCTCCTCTTCCAGACTCTTGCCCTCTTCCTCGTCAACTCCTCCGATGGGGGTCAGGTCTTCCTCGTCGGCGGGTGTGGCAGCTGCAGGAGTAGGACCGATCCATCCGTCGAGAGGTGGTGGTGCCCCGGTCTCGGAATGCCGGAAGCGAGCGAGCAGAGGAATAAGGGTGAGGGTGCTTTCTCGAGCTCGTGTATAAATGCCCTCGATGTCGTCGGTTGGTCGCCAAATCCGTGGAACGCCCGCCTCATCGTAACGAAATTTGTCCTCGAAGTTCTCTCGGAGCTTCAGTAAGAGATTACCTTCCATCATTTCTTCGTCAATCTTGGAACGTAGTACGGCCCAGGACTTCCTCCTCAGGCGCCAGATGCCGACTTCAACTTCTTCGGCGCTGGCGTCAAAGGAAGCCGCTCGGTCAGCGAAGCGCTTCTCAGCATCCTTCACGGTCGCAACGAACAAAGACCAGATCCGGTCCCAAATGCCCTTCTCCAGAGGTCGATCACCCTGCTCAGGCGCACCAGAACCACCGCGGCCAGATCCAAGAGCATTGAACTCCAGTCCGACGCTGTCGTTGAGTTTGCTTCTGACCCATCTTTCAACCCTTGTTGCGAGTCGGCGCATCTCGTCCCGTCGTAACTGACCCGAGATCTTATCGAGTTCTTTCTGGTACAGCCCCATTTGTTGTCGATAGTCAGACCAAGGCAACCCTTCGATCGCGGCCTCCTTTCCCACGGACGCGAATTTGTCGAGCGCGATCTTCTTCTGTTCTTTCACAATTTCAGCGAAATCGTAGGATGCCCCTTTCTTCTGCCCGGCCTTGACAGCTCCACTAACTGCATCCGAGAACTCTTGGACCCCTTCTTTGTGTGCAGCGGAAAGTTGCCCAGCGAACAGCACCTTGAGTCTAGTATCAATCTTGCTTTCGAGCTCTGTCCGTTTTCGTTGATAGACACCCTTGTGGTACCTGCTCGCCTCAGTTTCGAAGTTCTTGATGGCGGTAGCCCGGGCTTCTCTCATAGCAGCACCCAGTCCAGAAATTGGCTCGGCGTTACCCACTCTTGCTGCGTCAGTTTGTTGTGTCTCGAGTGGTGTGATCGCCGCATCAAAAGCGACAATGACTTCTCTCATAATCTCGTCGCATCTGAATTGAGCCAGGAGTTCTTGTTGGGTCGGAAGATCCAGATCCTTGTTGTTCACAATCTGGTCCCAGATCCCTTCTGCGTAGTGGGAAAAGCCGTCCGCGGGTATTCGTCGGTGATATTCAGGAAGGAAGATACCACCATCAAGTTCGCCCAGCAATGCATCTCTCCGGCGATCGCGATGACCATCTCGGAACCGCGTTGCCATCTTTGCAACCTCGGCTTTAAACTGTTCTGGCTGATATAGCTTGTGGGGGAGGGCAGTAAAAGCAAAGTCGAAGTAGTCGTCGATGCTGCTCTTCTCCAACCCCGGAGGCTTTGACAGACTGGTCCATATCCTCCCCATGTCCTGCATCAACGTATTTCGCAAATTCTGCAGTGGCGTCGTCCCAAGGAAGTCTCGAATGACAAAATATAGCAAGCTCCGCGAGGTGGACTTTCTATCCTTCAGAAACAGTTGGAGGTTGACTTCAAAGACCGTCTTCAGCAGACCCATATTGGCGCCCTGATACAACCCAACCTGATGCTCCCAGATGTTGACCATCAGAACTTCGCTGGTCGCCAGCGCAAATAACGAACTCTTGCGTTCAAAATCCTGATCTTCGCCGCGTTCCCGACCGTCTGTACCTTCAACGTCCATGACCAGGATATTGTCTGCCATTTCTGTCGCTGAAGATTTGTTTTTCGCCAACCATATTCCTCTAGTAGTTTGGCGTCGTTCTGTCTCGGACATGACGGAGAAATCGGTCTGGAAGAGGGCATTTAGGAGGGTTGACTTGCCAGTCGACTGCGAACCGAAGACGGAGATGAGATGGTAGTTGAACCCGGCATGGGAGACTCCAGTGTGACTGAGATACTTGGCCAGATCAGAGCTGCGACAAGGTCAGTAAGACCGGATGTGCTCGAGTCAAACCAGGGGTCATACTTGAACTGCTTATCCTCATCGACAACCTGGACACCATGTTCAAAGTCCGCCGTCCCGTTCTGGCCTGCAGACGCGAAATGCCCATTCACCGACATCTTTTCTGGTGCAGTGTTTGCTCGGTTGATCTGGAGAGGTCTGTCGCGAGTCGCTGAGGAGACGGGGGACTGCGGCGGCGAGAGAGTTGAATGCGCCATGACGGTGATGGCGGTCGGATGATATATCCCTGCAAGAAAAGCCTTGGTATGTGCTAAAGGGACATGGAAAAGAATAACTGGTCATCACCTGAACAGCCACCTGCCTGGGGATGCGGTCATGAAACAATTGGCCAGATGATGTGAGAAAGTGTCCCAAGACTCCCACCCAACCTTGGACCCCAGTGGTGCCAGTGACCCTTGAGGCCCGGACCGGCTCACCTGCTCTAAAGGAGTAGAAGCCTATTAGTGGCGGCGGGCCTCTAAATGATGATCCATTCCGGGCATGCTAAGGGTCACTGGTCTCCACCAGCCTCCTCAACATCAAACGTTCTGCAGGCTTCAGCCTTGTCAACGCCGCTTACCAGATTACTTGGTCCAACGACCGTCTGGCTCTTTCACAAGGAGAGACAAACAGTCAACCGAAGTGCTCGATATGTCCTGCTCTCTTGCCTAGAGCCTTGTGCCTCAAATCGTGACTTGGAAGTTCGCCCCAGCAGACAGGATCTGATGTGCTTTGGAGACATTGCTGGAGCCTGGAGAGACTGCTGCTGACTGCTTTCACGGCCTATCAACCTGTCAAAGAGTTAGTAACTTCAAGAGGCTGGTTCAAAATCCTGGTCAAAGACGTCAAGACTCTGTTGGAACATAGGGTATATTGTTGGCGTTTGGAGCGAACCACTTGTTTGCCGGACACATGCGCGAGGCTGAGATCCATGACCAGAAAGACTTGGGTCTCATCGCCAGCGCAGCAGGCACATTACAACATGATTTCTTGCGCCGAGACGAACAATTATCTGAGCCAAGGAGAAAAACAACAGCACTTCGATAGTTCTCTTTCACCAACCGCGCCCTATCAAGATTTTGGTCTGCTTCTCCATAAGCCACCACAAACGACTGTTGTCAAACGGTCTTGACCACAACAGTTCAACCTCCTTTTAACGAGGCATATTGCTCAGAGGACAGGTTGAGTCTCTTCTCTTCTCTCTCTCTTGCCAGAACAACCCCTTTGAAACCATGCCTCGGAACAGGAAGAAGAACCACCGCAGCAAAGCTGCACCCCAAGACCAGGCAGAAACCGCCCGTCCCCCAAAGACTGTTGCTTGTCCTCGCTGCAACAAGGCTATCATTGTCCCCAAGGCTTGCAAGCACGGCAAGAAACTCATCAACTGCCAGGGAACTGGTTGCGGCACAGCCCATCTCGTCGAACATGATGCGAGTTGTCAGCCGCTTAATCCACCCAAACCTGCGAATCCGTCCCTAGGGCAACCAAGATCAAGCCATGAGACAGCCACAGCACCGACCTTACCTCTGGTGACGCTAACTATGCCTGATGTGTCACCGGCACACAGCGCCTGGATCCTCGGGCCGCCAAAATCACAAGTCGCCGATCTGTCCAAGACCTTTCCGGCTAATCATCTTATAGCAATGCAAGAACTGTCAGAACAGCTCAGATCAGTCAAAGAATGCCGCAACAAACAGCCGAGATATGTCCAGGGCATTCCGATAGATGAGTGGTTGGAAAGACTGGAAAAAGAGAGTGCCGCAGAGGTCAACCAGTGGACTAGGAAGTTCAAGGATTTGGTGGAAGGAAAGGAGACCGCCGAAGCGATCGGATATGACGATGAGGACAGTGAGGACGAGGGCGACGGATGCCTAACACCGACAGAGGACGAGTGATGGCAATGTCGATTGCCAGAAAGTACAAGCACAACGGTGCCCATGGTGGCAGTGAGACATATCATATGGTCACTAAGCGGCCACCATCTCAACTCCGTCTTTGAACAAGTGTCGCGCAGGCGTACGGAACTGTGTTTCTCTCATTGGAGTGCATTGTGAATGGGAGAGACTTGTGTCAAGAAGGCACGTCATGTTATAGCAACCACTAACAATCGGCGAGCGGGTAACCTGTTCTGGCATTTCATGAGACCTTGCCTGGCCATCATGGCCAATTGTTACATATGTACAATAATTTCCCTTCTGTCGACGCCTTTCTCCCTTCCAGGTTTTGTTATGCTCCTCTATCTTGCAGCCATGCTCAAGATCTCAACCAGGTTATCTGAGCAGCATGTTGAGTGTGAGAATCCCATGATTCACAACAATCATAGAGCCAACGGTTTATTGTGGTTGAGCGGCGTCCTTCTTTCTAACCCCGACATCCTTCTCCCACGGCATGACAACCTGTGGAGTGTCTGCAAAAAGCTGCTTATCCCGGAGATGGATCGGCGTCTGTCCCTTTGGTGTATCGGGAATAGTCTTCTCCAAGCCCTGCATCACCAATTAGTCTCATAGTTCCAGGCATCCGAGCAAACTGCAGGGCAGGCAGCGCAGGATCACGTACGATTTTCTGGAAAACACATCTGTTGAGCACGCGCTCTGGCCGTCGACATTGCCACAGTTGGTGGTTGTTGTTCTCCAGACAGCTCCAGTGTGCTCGAAACTCCTCCAAGCAATTCTTGTTGATATCGGACAATCTGCAGCAATGCCAGGCAGGATCAGTACTTTGTAATTTCAACCAAGTCTTACATTTATCCATGCTTGATTCCAAGTCTCTTGATCCAGTTCAATGGGGAAAGACTGACACGCTCGCTGCACATCTTGTGACTTTCCTCCCTTCCCGCATACAATCCAACTCTCCTCGACCGTATGCCTCTGTTTTGCACTGCATGTAGTCATCGTTGTAAGGCCGACATCTTGCCCCAATGAAGAAAGACGCGCTCAAGAGGGGCGCTGAACTGGCTCCGATCTCCTCGACTTTAGGGATGTGGTCGGGCATAGGCGTGGTGTCGATCAGCACATCGGTGCTGAATCTGCAAACAAAGGGTCAGTCATGCGTGCACTCCAAAGGACTCAAAAGATCATGTACCTTGCTTCTCGTTTCGCCATGATTGCAACTGTTGGCCCACGCCACGAGCACTGTTTCGAGACTCTTCAGAAGCAATAACTCTTTCTGCACTCGGCACAGTAAGTGAGGTTCAAGCTGCGGAGGCGGAGCTGCAAATGCCAAGACAAAATCAAACCCGGCTAACCCCTCTTTGGGACGAGGGTAATGCCGCTCTGTGCTCACCCCTACCTCGCGCGAGTCAGATGCGCGGTCACCCGTTTCTCACCAATGATGGGGGCCAAACCTCCGGGCGTCTTGGTGTCGGAAGGCTGTGGTGCCGACCTGCCCGCTTCGATGGGGACTTATGCGGGGCTTTCATTGGCTAAATTACCTTTGGGTCAAAGTCAAGTTGACGATCCGTGATGTGCTCAAAAGCAGCGCTGCCGTGATTTCTCTTTGTGGATGGTATCCCTGGACTCGACTCTACAAGGACCACGCTGACCGACGGAAACCTGCGGTGGACGGTATATATTGAGTTGGCGGTACCCTCGCCGCTTTCGTCCACGTTCGACTGCCATTTCCTCCTGTCGCCGGGCCTTCCCCTCATCCCAGCGACGATGGACCACTCTTCGTACCGCTTGCCCCAACGTTGAGAACGTCCGCACTCTTCCTACATGGCCTTCTTCTCCTGTCTCCTTCCCCATGCGCAATAGTTCTAACTGTCGACGAGCTATCCGACCTGCCGTTCCCTGTCATCTAAGGGTGCCCTCAGAAAATCTATAGTACGCGAAGACGAACCGGTGGCTGCAAATTCATCCACGCCCGAGGACTTTTAACCAGCTTCACAACTGCTCCATCCAGGACGATGATAAGAGCACAGTTCTCTGTTGTCTGCGCGGAACCTGACATTGCGAAGTCCTGGCCTCTGAGCCTTCGATGATATGGTAAACAGAGATCTCCTGGATCTCCATCACAAAGGCTGCCACTCCACGTGAGTGCTTTCCGGAACGTCAGCCGCCCCAGCGGCGCTTGACCAATTCAAAATTGATCGACTGCAGCAAGTGGACTCTGGTGTCTTAGTCAGCAACCTGCCTTATTTGACGGAATGAATGCAGCACCTAGCTCTCGCCGTTGCCTTCTCTGGCTCCCAAGAGCCTTTGAACTCTCTGGGCGTCGACTTCGCTGAAGGTAACTTCTTCGGCAGTCGAAGGGTCGAAAACGTATCCATTTAAGGTGAAAGTTTTTTCGAACTGTAAACGTGTTCAGCGTTTACATTTGAGGAATTCTCCAATCCTCGACTTGGAGTTGGAAAGGGAGTGCTAGAGTCCAGCTAACCCTAGGGAGGGCACGGAAGTGACATTCCTACCTGCTGAACACTTCTGATCGTATGGCCGGTCGAACTAATCTTGTTTCGATTTTCAGATCCACTCGTCACAGCCGCGGCGACAGTATTTCCCGACTGGTCGATGTGGCGTGGTCGATCCTGAGAAGAATTGTCCGCGTCTGTCTGGGTCTCCAACATCTTGAACGAGATATTTCTATCCAAGAATGACTGATACGGTTTTATTAGGGAATTTGCGCTGCTGAAAGATCTTGGGGTGGCTTTTCGTGAGACACTGGACATCTACAAAGCAATTTGTACGAGCCAGATTTATATAATCCTGGAGTCGAACTATTCGACCATTAATGCTGTGGCCGGAACAGGACGAGTCGCCAGTCCTGTCGACCCGCGGCATTGTTAGATCCCTGTAGAACTATAGTCGCGCACGGTAGCGTCTGAGTTGCTAATCTTTGCGGTATCGCGCCTGTACGGTCAACGGTCAAGGGTCTAAGGTCTGCAGGTTGAGATTTATTATTGCCCTTCGAGATCCCAGTTGCCCAAAACGTTTGAACACTCTCTGGGAAGATTGACTGAGCTTATCTAGCTATATTGCTCTGAAGGCCCCCAGCATCACACCTCGATGTTCCCTGCTGTCATCCATGTCCAGGCCATAAAAATTGCTCTGCACTAACTATTCTCCAGAGGAAGGGAGACCAGACAAATTACTCTATTTGCTGTTGGCTGAGCCAATTTTTTGAATCATATCCATGTCCTCGGAAGTTCGCCGAAAGAGCGACCCGGTGCCGTCTTGACTTGGTGGTGTCCTAGATTCATCGTTGCTATCCACCTCAGATTCTCTAGCTGAAAGGGGAGATGTTTGAGCTGCTCTGACATCAATCCCTTCAGGCTATCCAAACGAAGCGAGCCAAGCTCGTAATACAGGAGCAGGCGCGTACCCAGTTTTGCTGGCATCAACGGTCTGCGTCTATATTTTTGAATGAGCTCTGGCTCGGCAAAAGGCCCACGCAGCGATGCATATTTCAGTCCGAGATATTTCGTAACTCCACCTTCTTGAACACCAGTGAGCCTTCCGAGGCTGGAATGTTCAAGCACTACTGACATGGTGGCAATAGACAGTGTCAAGGTATATGAAAGCTGTCACGGTTCGCAACAGGAGTCATCCAGACAGGATATACCACGCGTTTTGGCCGTCAACCCTTGGCACCGTCCAGTACCGACTACTGTCCATCGACCGGTGCCGCCCTTGAATGAGCAAAGGGGATATGGAGTGCCACAACCAGGGACGACATTGGGCTCTACATCCAACTCCACCTCAGGTCAAGGAAGCAAATACCC